TTTTCCAAATGTACTCTATGTTTCAGTCTCTCTCTCTCTCTTGCTATCACAGTTCCCACCTCTTTGCTTTTGTTCATCACATTTCCCAAAACCTAGTCAATTCCTAGTTATTTTTCCAAGTCCAACTCAAATATCACTCCCTCCATGAAATTCTCCTTACCCAAAGTCCAAAGGCCTCCCTTCTCTGGACTCCTATAACAATTACAATCTACATATCATAGTTTAGCTCTTGATTATATATTGTTTTGAATTATTTTTTATTTGTTTCATGTGTAGATTGCTTCCTTTGACAAGAATGGAGGCTGTTCGAGTATGGGGCAGTCCTAAAGTCAGTGTATTAATTATTATGTTCATATTATAAACTCAAAATGTTGATTCAGAGAAAATTGTGACTAAGAAAGATTATTTAATATATGCTCATTCTTTACCACTGCCATTGAGTATATTGGTGGGAGGTTGTGATCTGGGTTTACATGTATATTTTAATATATTGTTATTCATGTAATTGTTTAATATATTAGTAATTATATTATAATTTTGCTTTACTATATAATTATATAGATTTAAAATCTAAAAAAAAAAGATTGCTTAGGTAGAAGGGTCAAGCTACTGAGGTCTAAATTCAAATTAAATTTTTTATTTGCATAATTAGTCACAAATTTCTTCCAGGAAGCTTTTCCTTACCTAACTGATACATGAGATAAAGAATAGAGAACACATTTTACTGCTAAAATTTTCTTTGGATTTTAATTTGTCCATAATTAATATACAGTTATATTTTCTATTTCCAAGTGTCAGCAGTCACTGGAAATCTCATATCATCTACCTCATAGAGTTGTTGCTAGTAAAATTGTTGTAAACCTTTTAAGAACCACATAAATGTGAGCAATTAATTAGGATAATAAATTCCTAATTAAAAATTAGGGACAGGGACTGAGCTAGTGATCTCATTGGCATAGGGAACTCCTAGATGAAGAAACTCCCCCTACCAGGGCAGACTGGCACCTTTTTTGAAACTTAAAGTATTGGAGAATTTCCAAAAGCACTGAGAGGTTAATTGACTTGTCCAGAGTTACGAAACCAGGAAATGCTAGAAGCAGGACCTGAACTCAGATCTTCTGCTCCAAGGACAGCTACACACCACTACACTACAATTTCTTAATAATAAAACAATTTTTTGTATTATTTATAACAAAATAAAATAATATGGGAACAGAAAGTATATATATACATATATATACATATATACATGTTATCCCTGCCATCTTGTCTGTTACTTGAGTTGTCCTGAAGACCCTACCAAAGATGTGCTTATGATACAAAACTTTTATCCAATTACTGGAACTCATTATTTTATCCATCTGTGCAACAGTCTGTAGAACACTAAAGAAGAGAATAATAGTAAGATAGTAACTTGTCCTCATATACAAATTCTACTGAAAAAAGATGTAAAGAACCCAATGAATAATCATTAAAATAATCAACCTTAAAATGTTTGGTGATTTGAACCTTATTGTGAAGCTCTTTGGTATATGACTTGCAGGGCCTTCAGAGGCCATCTAGTTCCATCTCCTCATTTTACAGCTGAGAAAACTGAGGTTCAGGAGGTTCAATGATATGCCCAAAGTCACAGGGGTTGTAAGCATGAGAATTCCTCTAGCTCCAGTCAATGCTCTGTCCACTATGCCATGCTTGTTATAAGACAGTCACATCCTCATGGTTGTTCCACAATTTAAGCCTCAATAATAGTAAAAATAAATAAATTGAATGCTAATTTTTAATAGATAATTAGGAGAAAATTATTGTTTATGTGCTTTTCTTAAGAAGTAGCAAATGATCAAAATTCTTGCAGCTATGTGGAAAAGGAGTATTAGAGGTAGGTTAAGACATCAGGAATAAATTGTTTTCTTGAGATAAAGAATCCAAATTATTAACACAAGTTCAAATATAAATCATTACATTACATTATTTACAAAAAAACCTTCTATACAGCTATGTAATTACCACCAGAAAATCCACATAAATTTAAAAGATTAATGCCTCAGTGGAATTTTTTTTTGTATTTTACTTATTAAAATACCTTAATAATTCACATGTGGCAATACTGCTAATGAGCAACAAAACCTCACTGTATCTCATTTAAAGTTGGCACCTCTGCTGACAGTCAATACGGTCATGAAACTTTGGGCCGGGAACTGAATAGCAGCCCTGGGCTTTTAGTAACTGACACCACTCCATTTAGGATAGTTCCAGCAAAAGCTACACCCTAGATAAGCAGTCACATTTTATGGTTGCTTGTCAGAAAAATGCACGAGTTCCTTTTGTTATTTTTTTGTTCACAGGAAGGGAGCAGAATAAGGGTGAAGCCAAAGCACAATCATGGTACTGTAAAAAGAGAGCTGGGTTCCGTGTCAGGAGTTTAATCTTGGCCCTGCCACTTACTGGCTGCCTGAGCACGAATGAATTTCTTAACATTGCTGAGCCTTTGTTTCTTCATTTATAAAATGAGATTATTACTGGCACTATGTCAGAGGGTCACTATGAGTAAAGAGTTGTTTTCTACCTTGCAGAAGTATATAAAAATGAGGTACTACTTGTGTCTCACATGTCCATTACATAGATGCTGCTCTTAATAGCAGAAACCGAGCACTTTTTCTGGATTCCAAAACCATTCCCAGCAATATTTCAAATCTGTCATGTAATTAGCATCTGGCCTCTTTACTCATGAAATTGAGGCCATTTAAGGTGAGCTCCCTTTTCTCTTCTTCTCTATCTCAGAACCTCTCATTATCCCTCATGCTCTCCACCAGTTTCACTGTACCTTCTCAAGTCTCTGAAAATGAAGTGTGCTTTTTCCTTGTAAATAAAGGTCAACCCCTCCAAATGACTTTAACCCCATCCCTTCTAGTCTTATCTAGTAAATTTTAACCTTAATAATTCACACCCCCCCCTTTAAAATCTTCAGACTCTCTCTTTCTACTGGTTCTTTTCCTGTTGCCTTCAAGCATGCCCATGTGTCCTCCATCCTTAAAAACAAAATCTTCCCTAGACTGCAGAGCATATGGTACACTCTATATCTCTCCTATGTTTCTTTTTTTTTTTTTACATGTATTACCTTATTTTTTAAAAATTTGTTTATTTTTAGTTTTCAACATTTACTCTCCTCCATTTCTTAGCCGAAGTCCTTGCAAAAGCTGTCTATACTCACTTGGATGATAAATTCTATAGGGACAACATTCAAATATACTACATTTCATGTCTATCTGCTGTCCTTTCAGTTCCGTCTTTAAATGCATTTGGAATGACCTGACTTAAGTTGGTCTTACACCAAGCTCTCCAAAGACTCTACTTTTTCACTATTTTATGAGATAATATTTGTGTTGATCTTTTTTCATTCTCCTCTGCAATATTTTTCAAATGACCTCACAACTCTAAAGAAGGGGTTGACAGATTGAAAAACTCACAGCCAAATCTGCCCTGTTGCCTGTTTTTTTTTTTTTAAGGTGGGCTGGATTTGGCCTGCAGCTTATAATTTGCCATCTCTTGCTCTAAATTGTTGCTGTTGCTATGGTCTTTTACTTAGATAAATGACTGTGCTTCTTGTTTGAGGGGTTTCTATGACTTGGGTAAAGTGACTTGCCTAGGGTCACACAAGTATCTGAGGCCAGATTGGAACTCAGGTCTTCCTGAGGTTCTGCCAAGTGCTCTATCCACTGCACCACTTAGCTGCTCCTCTACTTTTTGATCTCCACGTTGAGGCAACTATTTTATACCGATTAAAGTTGCCTAGGAAATGGTGACAATCAGAGTCAATGTCTTTACTTTCATCAATTTACCAAGTCAGTAGCTTATTTCTATCCGTTATTTCAGAGCAGCTGTCATTACGTTAAGTATCTTCTCCTCTTCTTTCTTTTAAATTGGTACTGCCTTTCTTTGTGTTAGTCCATTGATGACCTCACTAACGATTCTGAAATAACTCCCACATTGTTAATCAATTACTTCCTGTCTGTTAAGATGTGGCTAATTTTAATTTCTGTGATGTTATTTGGTGCTTGCCACTTCGAGTGCTGTTTTTGCTGCCTTCTGGGAAAAAAATTAATTATATATAGGAAGGAGGCTTCTGGGTAATACACAAGGCACCTGACCTCCTTCAATTCTTAATCTTTTATCATATTTTCCAACATGTGTTTTCCATCCTTGCCATATTCATCTTCACATTGAACAAAAATTATCAATGCTGATTTGATATGAAGAACAATATCAAATCCATATAGATTTTTGTTCTTCCTTCCCAGCAAAAAAATGGCACATAAGTATCAGTTATATTACTTGTGGTCACAATAAGCAATAAAGTAAGACTGATCAAGTGTCTCATGAAATGTTTTCCTTTTTTGGTTGATTTTAGCTGCATGATAACACTAATTCTTCCAGCTACTTTATTCACTACTCTATGAAAAATCTGGGAGCTGTTTTGTAGACTCAGCTATATTTTGAAATGTCTTATGATGTCATTTATGGTGAGAATATCAATATGGATGTGGTTTGGTTCTTCAAGTAATATATCTATATGTTGGTCACTGGACAAAGATCTCCCATTTAGAGTACTAAGTAAAAGTAATATTTTAAGGTGGTCTAATCTGTTGCTGATATTATCTATACCTGAAATCTTGATAGCTTGTTAGAACTTTCCAGAATTCATGACCTATTGGTATAGCCTCCAAGAACCCAGAGTTACATTCATACTGCTAAAAAGCTCCAAAGGAGGATATTTCCTTTTAATACTATTCTTTCTTCCACCCTCCTCCCCCATATTACTCAAGAACTAGTCCAAGGTAAAAAGAAAATAATATTGATATAAACATATCATGTTTTAGCATTCAACAGAACTTGGGGAAAACACAATCTGATTTCACCAAAAATGTTAGCTTTCAACTTCCTGAAATCCTGGTATGGCAAATTGTATCAAGTTAAAATTCACAATGAACAGGAATAAATCATACCTGGTATAAGATGGAAGAGGTAAAGTAATTCTGGTCCACTTGTTGAAAGTATCTGATATAAGAATTCGCTGGAGATGATATCGGTTGCATTCTACATTTGTAGGCAGGCAATCTCTTAGCACTGGATGCCATGACAATCCAAGGTCTACTGAATATTCCAGTTCAATAGCTAAAAATGGCAATACATTTAATGAGTTGACATTCTTGATATCAATATTGTCTTGGGATAACTATATATCCTGGGACTACTGATTTATAATAGTCTCACATATTTTGATATTGCAAAATTTGACTTAATTTATGCTACTATTTGTGTAACATAGAATGTGCAACCCAAGAAGAGGCTTTATTGGCAACTTATAAAAAGGAGTATTCCGATAATGTAAATATTTTACATGTTTTCAATATGATTTTATAGTTTCTAAATGATTTCTGATTTTATTCTGAACATTATTTGCATTATTATTTTTAACATTAATATAAAATAATTAATATTACTAATATATAACTTTTCCTTCTCTGATACTGAAACAAAAGTTAATTAACTTTTCCCCTTCAATTTGAATGTACTTAAGTTCACCTGACATATGAAGTAGATTTATTAAAAATTACTCTTTAAAATAAGAGTACAGAAGAACTATAATAAATTTTTATGAAACATTTAAAGCAAGAGATATTCAGTATAAGCAACTTAAATTGAATATTATTGTAATATGGCCTTATTCAGGTGATAAAGAAAAAATTCACTTTTTCTTTCAAAAAGTCATAGTACCAAAATTTGGAAACTCATATTTTAGAGTGAATTTGATTAGCAAATGTAATAAGGAATGGTATTCTCAAATATGAAAATATTAGTAATTTACTTTGTAATTAAATGAGAAATTAACATAAAGTAAAATATGAAAAAAATGTCTTGGGGACAACAACCCCCATATTCTTTACACCCATACTCTTTGCCCGTTCCTTTACTATTCTTTCTGTCTGGAATACTATCATTGCATGTCAAACACAATTTTTTTTTTCTGGTCCTGATCTGTTCCTGATTTTATTGATGTAGAGAAGTCTCAGCGAGGAAACTTTTCTTCCAATGTATATTAGCATCTCCTTTGCAATTTAGTTTTAGCAAGCTGCCTAATATACTGAGAGCCAGTATGTGTCCAGAGCTGGGATTTCAAACAAGGTCCTACTTAATCTGAAGCCTGCTCTCTATCCATTATGGCAGACTGCCTCTCTGCATCCAATGATTTAAAATAACACATTTGATACAAGGCAATCTATCAGAGGAGATGTGTATTATCAATGTAGTTCATGCTAATAATAAGTATAAATTTATCTCTTTCCTTTTTTGACTTCACAACAGTGTAGAGGTTTTATTTAGGAAAGAGGCTGTCATATTCCTGAAATACATCCATAACTCCTTTTAGCTTTTAATCTCCAGTAAAGAAGTACTTACCATAACAAGAATCTGTAACAGAGCAAGAGGCTGCAAAGTCTATTTGCAGGAAGGAATCTTCATTCACAGCAATATCTGTGGTGACTACATAACGTGTGCTTGCCTTCTCAATGAATACCAGTGCATCTCCAGTGGAGCCACACACTGCCATCTTTGTACCTCCGGGGTGAAGTAGCCACTTTCTACTATCCAAGGTGGTAAAATCATCTTCCAAGACTGTATTACCAGAAATGTTTCCCCCAATAAGAATCTGAAATATTACATAAAAATAAACCAGACACATTAAAATAAAACAACTGTTCTTTTTTTGACTAGCCTATTCAAAACTGGCATTGTAATGTACACATGGTGTTAAGGGAATGTTAATAATATTTTTGTTTTTGTGGTCTGGTTGCCCATCTGGCAAGTAGCTACTGAAAACAAATCAAAGGAATGACAAAACTACTTAGAGGCTTCATAAGCCAAATTATGCCTTTGGAAACTCCATGCAGCCAGGCTGGGGAAGTCAGAATTTGGCTCATGGAGCGATTATTTTCTATGTAAAATTACTATTTAAATGTAGTTGTGCCCTGAGGCTCTTCAATTCCAGTTCTTTGCATGGACTATCCCATGTGTTAATAGCTTCTTTGAGGTCCATTTATTAGGTATAAACATAGTCCACAATGAAGAGCTGGGGAGATTTATCTATATTTTTTTTTTCAAAAGGAAGAAGAGGATTTGGGAATCACTGCATGTGGCAGCCAATTCTAATTTGCATATTTTCCTTTTGTACCCTCATAGCACAATTGATAAATTGCCTACATCCACATGGGATAGTCTTCTATGAGCGGGATTTGGGCCTTCTGCTGCAGTTTGACTTTCTAGGCTTTAGGCAGTTGGGGAAATCATTAAAGAATTAGAACTAAAAACCTATGACTAACTTGTATGGTATTAACTAGCTGTATGATTTTGGGAAAGTCACTAAACCTTTCAGAGCCTCATCTAGAAAATTAGAGGGTGCGGTTCAACAGTTTCTAAGACCCTTTTCAGATCTAACTTCAATTCTCTGGTTCTAGGGTAATTAATTAAAACAATTAAACCTGTAGAAACTGACCTGATCAATAACCCAGGGGCTGTAGAAGTGCCCATTTTCTGATGGCTGCCACCATCGAAGTCGAGTAGAGCTAGAACGAGCTTTCAAAGGTATCTCCAGGGCAATGTACCTGCCGACATTGCTGGAATTACTGAACAGGAATTCCTGCATGAGGCTCCAGGAGAGGCCTCCATTGAGTGAGTACTGTAGCAGCACAGGTTGGCTTCTGGGGTCTGGAACTCCTTTACCACATCCAAGTCTCATGAAGAACTGTACAAATCTGACATCAGCAAAAATTATAATTATGTATTCATTCAAAGACAAATCTATGTAATCAACAGAATAGGGATCTAGGGAAGAATGAGATGGAGGGAATAGATACCACCAATGAATGGGATCTTTTAATTTGTAACCCTAAGCATTCACCTCTTAAGATCAATTTTCTTTTTTTATGAAAAAAGTCTATTAGGATGTCTAGGCTGACATATGACATACAGTCATCATCTGACTCACAGGTGAGTATGGGGCCATCAGCCAAAATACTTTAAGAGGGAAAATCACATTTTTGCTTTTTGATAAACATAGACCTTAGTAGCATCAGAAAAATTTGAATTACATAAAATGGTATACACCTACAAATATGAAATTTGATGACTACTGAAAGATATGATAAAAACGGCAATTCCTTTCCCTTCATGGCCTTCTTTCCCTCCCCAAGCAGAAGATTTAAAAAAAAAAGGTTATACTTCATTTTTCTCCTTTGTAGTTCACTAATGTAATTATCCAAAGAATGTGGACGTTTGGGACCATTTGGCTGAGATGAGAATTTGGTATTTTGCCATTTGGAATTGAGAACATAATCCATCAGCCATGCATCCTCAAACCTCCAAGATGGTGTTTTCATATGTTACATCTTTAATTAAAAGTGAATGATATGTTACAGCATATCACAAAGAAAAGACTAGGTGATGTCTGAGCCATTCTGAATCTAAAATTCCATGATTTTAAGATACAAATTATTTTTGAATGTAGGCAAGAGGTCAAAAACTACTCAGGAATGATATACTGCTGTTATATAGGCCCTTTCATTCTGGGTAGAAGAAGGTGAATGTATGCTCATTGCCCAGTCTTGCTGGGATGGCTGGGAGAAAGAATACATACAGGTTGGATGGTGGGGGTCATCCTTTGCTTTGGCAAAGATGGCAGCCTTCTCAAGAGGCAGGAAGAAGAGCAGAGTGACAACTGGCTGGCATGCCCATATGTTAGAATAATAAAATAGAAGAGAACAATAGAATTCTAGAGCCTGAAGAGACTTCAGAAGGTATCCAATCCAACCCTACCAAGATCATCTTGGGTAGGTCTTCTGTATATTCCTGACCCCTAATTAGCCAGATTTTTTTTTAACTAATTAAGATGAGATGTATTATTTTTATGCATTTGTGGTATCTATTTATTAATTTAGTATAGGGTCTTTTACACTGGTATCCATGAACTTTTAAAAAATAGATATGTGTTTTAATATAATTGATTTCCTTTGTAATCCTGTGTATTTTATTTTATGCACTTAAAAACATTATTCTGAGAAGGGTCTAAAGGCTTCATTAGCCTGCCAAAGGTGTTCAAGGTATCAAAAAAAGGTTAAGAACTCCTGAATAGAGAAACATATACTTAATGTTCTATATGTGTCTACATATGTATTTATACTCGTGTGTATATATAAGTTGACATATACACATATACACACATGTGTATAAACATGGTACAATAATAGGTAGAGGACCAATTTTAGAGTCAGGAAGACTTAGATTCAAGTCATGATACATACCACTTTTGCTACCATGGGCAAGCTAATTAGCTTCTCAGTTTCTCTAGGTTAACTCTCTAAGATTATAACTTACAGATGAGCTGCCAATTTGTACCAACAAATCAAACAGAAATCATTTATTAAATACCAAGTATATGCTAAGCACTGGGCTAAGTGCCAGGGATGTGCAAACAAACCTATAACATTTTTCTTCCTACCTTTTAGGATCTTAAATTCTATTAGGACAGATGTGTATTATAAGTATATAATATGTTAGCATTTATATAATGCTTTAAAGTTTGAAAACACTTTCCTTGTTATCTCATCTGACCCTCACCACACCTCTGGAAGGGAGGTGCTATTGTTATCCCAGTGTCACAGATGAGATTAAATGATTTGCCCAGGGTCCCAAAGGCAGTGTATTTCCTGACTTCAAGCTCAATCTCTATCCACTTCAATACTCTATCTGCTTCTTTATCCCTGTCCTTATATTTAAAATATAGCAATAATGATAAGGACCTGTGACTTCATTGATGTAGTGAACTCCCGGGCAGGGAAATTCCTTGTACCAATGTAGGTCGGAACCTTTTCTGCAACTTATAGTCTTAAAAAATTGCTTAGAGCATGAGAGGTTAGCTGACTTGAAAAGGGTCACCTAGGTAAGCTGGGTGACTCAGTGGATAGAGTACCAGTCCTGGAGTTAGGAAGATTTTTCTTCCCGAGTTCAAATCTGGCCTCAGGCACTTACTAGCTGGGTGACTCCATTTGCCTCAGTTCCTCATCTGTAAAATAAGCTGGAGAAGGAAATGACAAAGCATTCCAGTATCTTTGCCAAGAAGACCCCAGATGGGGTCACAGAGAGTCAGACATGACTGAAAAACGACTGACCAACAATACAAGGACACACAGCCAGTTTCTGGCAGAGACAGGATTTGAACTGAGGTCTTCCTGTGACAGGGCCCAGCTTGTTATCATGTACAAGCTATGCTGCCTTTCATACAGAATACATATGAAACAAATATATAGTAATATGCATGATCAGGCAAAGTTTCTGGTATTTGAGTGGAAGCTGAAGGAAAAGGAGGGATTTTAAGAAGAAAATTGAAGAGGGAGTGCATTTTGTGTTTCTCCAAAGGTATGGAGATGGAATGTTATGTGTGAGGAAGGCCAGTGTGGCTGGATCATAGAGTGTGTGAAGCAAAGCCATATATGATAAGCCTGTAGGGGTAGGTAGCTCGGATCTAGGTTGTATAAAGCAACTGAAATGCCCTTCTTCTTGAGGACTTGGTATTTGATTAGGGAGCCACTTAGGTTTGTTAAATAGAGGTGACACAGTCAACATGCACTTTAGAATGTCATTTTGGTAACTGAGTGGAGAATGGACTGGAGAGGGGAGATATTAGAGGCAGAAAGACCAAATAGACTACTACAGTGGTCTGCTAAGTAAGATGAGATGATGGTGTGAATCTGGCAGTGGAAGGTGTTTCCATACGCTGATGAAACCAGAGTTTTAAAAACATAACCTTAGGAAAGTCACTTATCTTCTCTCTGGACTTCAGTTTCCTTCTTTAGATGGTTTTTAAGGTGCCTTCCAGTTCTGGCATGGTTTTGAGTTTATAATTAGTTACATAACTAAAAAGGATTTGCCCTAAGAACTTCCTAGCATATACTATGTATGTTATATTCAACGAAAGAACACATACTGTATTTCACATATTCAATATAATATTCCAGGGGTGGGGAACCATATGTGGGTGGCCTTAGGGTTGCAGGTTCCCCACCTCTGCAATATGCAATACACACAGGTGTGCATATATGTGTGTATATATGTATGTATACGTGTGTGTATAATTATATACATGAGTGTGCTATATATATATATGTATATATATATACACACACACACACACAACATATCAGATAGATATATCTACTTGTGTTTGCTATATATTATATTCATATCTCTTATTACATACTGTATCTATATTGTAGATTATATATATCTACCTATGTTTATTATATGTTGTATTGAATATGTGAGACATACATATACACACACACAAACATATGTATAACAAGGGGCTTTAGGAATCTTATTAGTACCTTTGCATGAAACCAAACTGCATTATTTATTTATTTAATATTTATTTATTTTCAAAATTGATTGGACACCTAATTGTTTTGTTGACCCTAAGAAAACTGGGTTTTTAATACGGAGGACTTTGGGCAAAATATATGTGAATCTTATCAAAACCTGCCATTGAGATGAGATAAACTTTTGACAGTGGACAAAGACAGGTTGGTTTATTTAGTATCTTTTACATTTATAAATATGAATGTTTCATTGAAAATAATTTATGTAGTCAGTGCTTGTTTTAGAAATAGAACATAATAAAGATGAGGGAAGTTATATTAATTTAATGGTGGCCTCTCTGTAAACCATTACTGCAGTAAGTCCTTGGAAAAATGTGATAATTTATCATTTAGAGCTCTCAGTAGGCAATTATACTCTCAAATGAAAATCAAGTACAAATAAAAAAGTAGGAAAACTTGCTTCCTATCAATTTTTTTAATTAATTCCTAGGCAGAATTATGTATTTTGAGAGGCATAAAGAAATTTATAATACAATCAGCAAAAACCTTAGGCAAAATAAGATAAGTACATTTATATACATTAAGAGACTTGTGAAATCTTTGAAAAAAATTTTTAAATTAGGCTTTTCCACTCATTTTCAAAGACAGCATATATGATTACATTTTACACATGTTAAACTGTCTTTTAAATTTTACTTGTTAAGTTCCTGGCCCATTAAATGATCAAGAGATGAGCATCATGCCAGACATAATCCTCCATGCAAGTTTTAATGTTTGTTTCTGAACAGTTGGGCTCCATTTAGAAAATGACTTGTTAGGATTTGTTAGATCATTTTAAACAAATGGTTGTAAAAGATGAAGTTGAATTTCAGATGTTTTTAACTTAAACTGCCAATGACTGTAAATGCTAAATTGGCTCAGAATGTAGTTTGATGATATAACACATTTCAACAAAATTTTACATTAAGCATATTGTACAGAGTGAAAAAAATTCAAGTCAGATGGAAATTTGTTTATTGTGAAAGCAGCACAAACCATATAAGGAGATGTCATTATAGTTGCCTGATCAAACTTCAGAAGGATGGCCGAGAATGAATTAAATGGTTTCACTTCATAGTCATTTCTGTTAATACAACACGGTAACTTTAATCAATGAAGCCATGTCTGATTTCTGATCCAGTTACTTCAGAGATCTCCTTTGGTACAAGAACAGAAATTAAGATAGGCTGTGTTCTAATAGATTTCTTAAAGAGAGACAAGTCACTTCCCAATGAAAGCTTTATCTTGGCAATTCCTCTCCTCATGCTGGTTTAATTATATTCTATTGAAAAATATGATGTCAGGTATAATAATAAATCATCACAACACTTTTAGTGGTTACCTGGCCTGTGACAAATCCAAGTCTCGAGTCATTAACATGCGTAAGCCATCTTCATTGAAAAAGAGGTTGTTTCCACTGGAAAGGATTCCACATTTCCTAGATGGCTTTCCACCACTCAATAACAAGAATCTATCAGACTCCAGTTGACCTGAAAAAATGGAAGATGAATACATCTTTATCCATATTCCAAAATTAGAATAGTATTATCTGTATTAGGATGCAATGTAAATAAATTATCAACTTTTTAGGCGCTGGGCCTTTGAATTTTTTAAATCTCAATATGCTTAAGTCATAAATGTTATTGGCATATTTCATGTACCTTTTCAATACTATAAATTGGAAAGAATGTACTGATCTACATTGGTAATAGGGATTTCCTAAACCTGGAGTTTCCAGTACCAATGAAATCACAACTTTATTCCCTGTCCTTATTAAATTGCTCATCATGCTATAATTTGTGAGTACACAAGCCTGATGTGCTCTTAACTCAAGAGAACCTATAGCTTAAATAATGGATACCTTCTGTCTTCTTTTAGATATATCTGTTTTAAAGACATTTTTTATTGAAAAGTTGGTTGAAGCCAGAAATAACAGATTATGGAGTGATGTTCTTCTATTATCTTCCATTCTCCATTTTTATTTCAGTGAGGGCTGGGATTGATTCCCCTTTCCCTCTTCCTTCCTCCACTTGCCCCCAGTAAAGACACAAATGCTGTAGAGGCAGTTCTGATACATACAGAAATCTATACTACAGGTTGAATGAGAAATTGACTATTTAGGTTTAAAATTTCCTAGTGAGTGAATGTTGTCTGTTACCACCGGATCTGATTTTTTTTTTTAAAACACTCGTCTAGTTTTCAAATATAGAAACCAAGATATATAGGCAAGGAATGACTCAGTGATGTTTAATGGACTGCTAATGGTACACAGTCAAGAGCTTACATTTCTGGGACTTTGTTCATTCCTTTCTCCTACTACATGTCTCTCAAAATCCATTTGGTAAAAATTTTTGTTAATGAGAAATTGCACTCGACATATATAGAGGCAAAGATAAGTCTCTAATTGTCAAGTAACATTGCAGAGAAACTTACATTATTCATGCTAATAATTCAGAAATAGTGATCATGGATAATTGAAATGAGAAATATGAGAAAATACACATTCTATCTTTTCTGATAGATAATGATTCTGTAGTGCCAGGATTAAATGACATAACAGATCCTCTGATCAGATACTTGTGCTGGTCAGGACATAAATGCATTCATATGTAGGCACCACACTTTGAGTATGTTGAAAAATTAGGGTGTATCCAGAGGAGAGCAAACCAGAATGATAATAAATTTAGAAAGCATATCATCTGAGGAAAGGTGAAGTGAACCAGTTATGGAATTATGAAGAAAATGATAGCTGCCTGCAAATATTTTAGAGTCTAAAAGAAGTAGACTTATTCTGTGTTGCTTTAAAGGGCAGGAGTATGATTAGTGAACAGATACTAGATGGAGACATAATAAGCGAAGAATTTCTAATACATTAAGTAGTCAGCAATAGAACAGGCTACCTATTAAAAGGAGGCTGGATTATCAGAGACATTATTGTATTTTGTAGGGTGGTAGGACTAGATGATCACTACAATCAACTCTCAGATTCTGCGAAGGAGTATAATAGAATCATAATTAAGGAAGCATGCTTCCTAATGACCTATTGTTTTGAAAGTAAGCTGGATGTTATGGATTTTCTTGGTTACTAAGAATTACAATAATAAATTATTACAAAGTTTCATAGTTCATTATGTTTAATTTTAAATTGCTAAAATGTACCTGATCCCTTAAAATTTAAGTTCCATTATAAAGCAAACATATATAGGATCTATGATTAAAGAAAAAAAAATCACCTTCAAAATCATCCTTGAGAAAATCAGAGTTTTTGGTACTTATTTTACAAGTTGGGCCTGAGTACCCAGGGTCACATATACACTTGGTTCCATTGATACAACTCCCATGCCCATTACACATCTCCTCACATTGTGGACCAATATAGACATTATCAATGGCCCAGGTCACTGGCTGAGAGCTTGCAGGATAAAATCCCTGATACCATCTAAATCGTACAGATCTGGAAAAGAGGGAAATGTCATTCACACACTAATAATTGGAGGAAGATAACAGAACATATCTGGCCAATAACACTCTGGTAACTGAGCAGCTCTTCTGCTCACACTTCATGGCGAAGTAAATGTTAGCAATTAAAGCTTATACTTACCATTTATCTTAACTTTTATTGTTGCTTTATATGTTTCAGTTTGCAAGATGAGCAAACCAGAGGCTATTCTAAACACATCATCATAAGTATTTAGCATGTAATTTAGGCAAGGTGCCCAGGTAGTGCCTGGGCACTATGCTTTTTTTGAGCCAGAGAGCTATGTTTCCCCAGGCCTGTTTAACCAAGTAAAAGAGTAGTACTCCTTTTTGATCAATTATCCCTTTCTCCCATAAAAATAGAACTCTCCATAAAAATAAATAAGTCAACAAGTACTATTAAATGCTTACTATGTGTTGGTAACTGCTAAGCACTGTTCGTAAAAATTAAGCTAAGCATAAAAATTAAAGGACAGTATGTTTTAGTATATTTCTAATTATAAACATGTTTATAATCAGGATTTAAATAAAATCAGGTACAGTTAAGTTCTTTTAAATATCCTAAATTATTTTAAAATCTAACTTTACTCTACCTGACTTGAGAAGAACTAACACCCTGAATCCCCTAACCTGGAGAAGAGCTCTTGGGATTTGTCCACCACGCCAATTAATTGCAGTGTATCAAGTACAGATTTCAGGCAAAATCCATATGACTTCAAAGCTGTAATCTGATTTCAATATGTCTTTTGACTTTTGATTTCAGCTTTCCAAACTTAGCAAATATGTGGAAACCAAGAGCAAGTCAACAAGCAGGTATGCAATGTATAAAAAAGAATGGCAATACTGAACAGTACTATTGCAATATTGTGAAGAATGGAATAGTGAAGCAAGGGGAGTCAAAGAGTTGTGTTGGTTTAAAGGACAGAGGGGTAATTTTCAGATCAGTGACGGTTTTATGGAAAAATTGTATTTGATCTAGGCCTTGAAGGATGGCTAATAATAATAGGTAGCATTTACATAGCACTTTGAGGTTTTCAAAGCATTTTCTATATGTTATATATTTGAGATAACATGGAAGATTATTTGAGCATCCTGGGAGGGTGCTATTTTTATCTCCATTTTACAGATGAGGAAACTGAGGCCAAGAAAGGATAAGTAATTTGTCTAGGGTCACATAACTAATAAGTATCTGAGGTGGGATTTGAACATAAGACTTCCTGTTTCCTCTATCCAGTAGGCTAATGAACTGCTTAAAAATTGGACAAAGCAGAGCTGGAATAGGCGGACATTACCAGGAGAAGGAAGAACATGAGCATGCCCTGCTTTCGTTCAACTTTCTCTTTCTTTTCCTGGTCCAGTATAAAGGAAAGAAAAATCATACAGCAGCCTAAGTGGCCAGTCTACTAAAAACTTCATGATAATCTTTTCCCAAGGAACGGCTTCCCTGTTGGCCAGTTTCTAGTTTAAAACTGCCCCCCTGCCTTTTTTTTTTTGTTTAGCAGATAGAAACTTTAGATATCTAGAAATTTGTAAGTGACTAGCCGTCTCATCAAAAGATTGAAAAGGCTTGCAAGACTTCATGACCCCATTTAGGGTTTTCTTGGCAAAGAGACTGGAATGGTTTGCCATTTCCTTCTCTAGCTGATTTTACAGATGTGGAATGGAGGCAAACAGGTGACTTGCCTTGGGTCACAAGCCAGTGTCTGAGGTCAGATTTGAACTTAGGTCTTCCTGACTCCAGGCTTTGAGGACTACTCGCTGTGCCACCTAAGTGCCCTGTTTTAGATACAGATGGCCTTATTTTAAAGAAATCACACTCATTTTGTGGGAAAAACACAAGCAAACAGAACATAAGGTTTTTAAACAGTGAAATGCAGTGATTTCTCCCTGCTTTCATCACAGAATGGGTGCCGAAACATTCTCTTCTCAAATCCTGAAAAACCTGCTGGCTAAGCATCAGCTTCCTCACCTATAAAATAAAGGGATTGGACTAGATGATCTCTAAGGTCCCTTCTGTCCCTAAAATTCTATTACTAATGATCTACTTATGGTGTTGAATGTCACCAATTTCACTTTGCCTACCAATAGTCAGTTTTATGGAATGTCCCACAAAACAAGGGGAAAGAACCTAGGATATTCTATGCATCTCCCTTAGATCAAAGTCTGACTCGTAAGTCATTTCTTAGACTTCTTCTTTCTTCGTCAAAATCATTATTCTTCATTCTTTCTTCTAGCATGGAAGCTTTTTTAATTAACCATCTACCCTGTTGTTTTTTTTAAATGTCCACATTAAACAAAGATACTTTTCCCCTGGCTCAGTAAATGGATCTCCTATTTTTATTTATTGTTCTCCATGTTAGAGAATAATACTGACATTCCTTGGGATTAATTATTATTTCTTGAGAAGCAGAATAGGAATAAAATGCTTTTCCGTATTTATTTTCATGGCACAGTTTAAAATGGACTGGCAACTGGGTGGGTAAGAATCAGGATAGGAATCCAAGCCATGAAAATTGATGGCACATAGTGAAAGGAGAATATGTATGTAACATATTTTGCAATTCAAATACTACATGAGTATTTATTATCATTGCTATTCTTTCTATACACTGTGAACCTGCTCATTGACTTGCTCTTAGTTCTTATATAATATTTGCCAAATTTCAGGTAGGAAAAGCTGATATCAAAAGTCAAAACTTTAAGGTGGAAAATTTTCTAGGCTCTTTAAGCTCAGTAGCTATTAAAATAATTGAAGTAAAGTTCTCACATATAATTTAAACCCCATTATCATTTATTTAAGTCAAGATTATTAGTATCTACAGCTATTCCCTCCTCCTGAGAAAAAAATTCCCAATTTGAAATTAAACTTTACTTTCAAATATATATCACAATTTATTCTTGGCAAGGAACACTTCTTTCCTTTTGAATTTTCAGACTGCTGAGCTGAGGGAAATGCTTGGAATTCTCTTTTGTACAAAAGTCTACATTGAATTTTTTGAGCTTTTTATGTATTCAAATGTTATGAATACAAATGAGCTATCTTGGTAGGATATTTATTATTGTTTCACCTGTCTTGACACAGAAACTGCAAGTACCATGATAAATGGACTGAAAAGTCTAGTTTCATTGTGGTTTCCTTCTGCTGAAATCTCATTTAAAAATTCTTGCTGCCATGCTCCTTAGTGAGTGTCAGCATCTATTCTCCCACATCAGTGGTATTCAAAAGAACCTGTTATTTAAAGCATGGATTTAAAAATTCAAGCACACAGCACTGACTTCATTAAACATGTTTTTTTTTGGCTGACTCATTATGAAACTGCATGAAGTTTGAAAATAAAGAACTTGGGAAGTTTTAGAAAGAAACAGAACATAGGAAAGAATACGTGAGTACAAAAATGATGTGAATAAACCTGAAAAGGGAACAAATATTTATAGTCTAAGCCTAGTCTGACCACCTGTGGAAGTCAGACCCAATGGTCATTCCTGTAATTTATAATATTTAATATATTCATATTTATCGATAATTAAGGATTGTGTCCAATTAGATATGTTGAAGGGATAAACACCTGTCACATGAACCAGTTGGAATGCATTATACATTCATATCCTGAATTGATTATGGGCTAAACAAGAAGTCACTTAGGGGCAATTGTGGGTTTGCAGCAGGGATCTGTATTTAGCTCTCAGTGTTAAATTTTCAGTGTGAGCATTTACACAAATAATGGCTTGCTTATTTTTTTTTTTGTTGATGCTTATTCTAGACTTAAGAAAGCGTTTTTTTTGGTTTTTGTTTTCTTTGGGTAAGGCAATTGGGGTTAAGTGACTTGCTCAGGGTCACACATCTAGTAAGTGTTATGTGTCTGAGATCGCATTTGAACTCAGGTACTCCTGACTCCAAGGCCAGAGCTCTATCCACTGCGCCACCTAGCTGCCCGTACTTTTTATTTTTTTTAAAGAGAGACAGTTGTTAAGGCATTTACCAGCATATCTGGTTTGGAGTGTATTGGCAATCCTGGTCTTTAAATAAGGACCAAATGGTGCTGTACTTTCAGAAGTATTGGAAGACAGCTTGCAACTTTGATTGGATACCATTTGAGAAGTAGATATGTATCCTGTTCAAATTTATTTTCTTTTCATAGCAAGGGTTGAAATATAAATGACAGTCTAAGGACAGTAGTTTGACTATTATAAATTTGTATTTTTAAAAAATTGCTTTTTTTAATTGGATGAAAGATTACACTTTAATTTATCACTAAGCAAGAGTGGTTAGAACTATAGATACCTATATTTCTTTTGTTTACACTCACAGATAATATTGGTACTCCTAGAGCAAAAGGCATAGACTGAGGGGAAATTACTAATTAGTAAATTGAGTCAGCCTCCAAAGCTATATGGGTAGCCTCATTCAGAAAGGTAAACCTTTGTAACCTTATTTCATACATTGCAGATGGGATTACTTCCTGTGAGGGACCTGCCAAAAAGCATACCATATTTGTCACCAGCACAATTCTAGGAACACTAAACTGAACTTTTTTTTTTAAGGCAATTGGGGTTAAGTGACTTGCCCAGGGTCACACAGATAGGGTCAAGTGTTTGGTCTGAGGCTGCATTTGTACTCAGGTCCTCCTGACTTCAGGGCTGGTGCTCTATCTACCATGCCACCTAGCTGCCCCTAAACTGAACTTTTTGTGGAAATTGCTACTAACCTCTAGATTCATCCTTAGATTTAATAACTTTATAATTCTTAGGTAGTCTATTAGGGGAAATTCAAGGACAATGAGAAAGTGTGGAACTTTTCAGTGCTGAATGTTGCATTAGGACAAAAGCATTTTCAGAGGTCATCAAAGGATCCTAAATCATATATTTAGAATCTAAAGAGACCTAAAAGATCATCCAGTTCAATATTCTCATTTTACAGATGAGGACACAGGCCTGGACTTGCCCAAGGTCACACTCAGGTAGTAAATAGGAGAGGTAGAATTTTACTCCTGATCTTTTGACATCAAATCCAGGCTCTTTCCACTGTAACATGCTGCTGATATTCTGGGACACTTTCCTTCAATAGCTGCTGCCTGGGCCTCAGTTTTTTCAGCTATGAAACTAGGTAATTGCACCACATTATTTTTAAGGTCCATTCCTGCTATAAAATTCCATTATTTATGACATATAAGCACCAACTATCCTAACACTAGTGTAATTGGGATGCTCCCCGCTTGTCCTTGGACTTGGTTAGAAAAACCTTGATGAGGTTATTCTTAGTGGCCTTTGCTTTTCTAGATATTTGGGTTTTCAGCAAGAATATCAGAGTAGAGTAACTAAAAGGATTTGAAATGAAAGCCAACTTTATTGCATAAAGGAATCATCCTACAGCACAAAATGCTAGGACTTCAATTGAATTGAGGCCTAGTTTAGTGGAGGCCTACATCATAAAAATTAAAGTCACGAGGGCAATTTCACATTTATTAGTGAGGACAGATTGCTCTGTATGTTTGTATGTATATATGTATATGTAAACACTTGTATCAAGTCAAGTCAATGAACATTTGTTAGCCTGCTATGTGCCAGACATTGTATTAAGCACTGGGGATACAAAGAAAGGCGAAAAATATGGTACCTTCCTTCAAGGAACTCACAGTCTAATGGGAGGGACAACATGCAAACAACATAAACAATTGTGTACAAACAACATATACAGGGTAAACTGGGTAATCGACAGAGGAAAGACATCAGCATTGGGGAATCTGGAAAGGCTCCTTGTAGAAGGTGGGATTTTAGTTGGGATTTGGAGGAAGCCAAGGAAACCAGGAGGTGGAGATGAGGAGAAGTACATTCATTTCCATGGATTATGATAACAAGGTATGATGGCGGAGGGGTTTGTCAAGAGTCTAATCACCACAGTTTTGCTCCTTTGCAGTTTTGCTAACTAGGGCCCCTGAGAATGACTTGTCTAGATCATGAGTACGAAAGCAGTTAAAAAGAATTTTCTCAGAATAATTCTGATAAAAGACCTGAAGGTATCCAAGATACATGGTAAAAAAAACAACAGTCAAAAGACGGATTTTTTAACATGCCCAAGAGATTCTCTGGCTAGCTAGCTCTTTAGGTGCCATTGGTATCTGATGGCCATCTGAGAGAATCTGAACTATTAAAGAGCTAAAGACCCTTTTGGTTAGCAAACTGAAGAGATTTAAGACACTTCCTGATGAGGCTAGTTTGTAGTTCTCTGAGGACCACCTTGAGAGCCAGAGAAGCCATTAGGTATCTTTAAGTTTGTTTAGCATGGGGGGGGGTAGGGACAGGTGCTATATTTTATATTTATAAACTACTTTCTTTTTTTTAGACTATTGATCTTTACGATAAAAAAAAAACAAAGGAAGGCACATGAAAATGTCATCAAAGAGAGGCCAGTGTACCTTGCTGACTTCTTTTCCCTCCTTTATCTTACTCTATTAATTCCATTTTTTTACCTACAGTTTTTCATTTTATTTTTACATTTCTTCATCAGCAAAATGGGGATAATAATACTTTCACTATCCATCTCATTAGGGTTGGTGTGAAGAAACTACTTTGTAAACTGCAAAACATCATATTAATGTGAGCTGGTACCATTTCCACTCAAATGACCTTTCATTAAAAAAAATTCAGTAGATGTAGGAGAAGTATGGACAGAAGGGGAAAACAACAGAAATGCCTGTGAAAAAGTGCTAGAGGTTTCCTCTAAGAATTAGGATTTGGGGGCTCTGGGTATAGAACTTGAAGACTGATTTTTCAGTTCTTGCTCTTAACACTATGTGATAGTAGTTGAATCACATTACCTCTCTTTGAGCTTCAGTTTCCTTATCTGTAAAATGAGGGTGTTGGGATTGTCCTTAGAGTCTATTTAGCTCTAAAAATCTATGATCCTATAATTCTGTGTCTTCAGAAGTGAGATGGAGAGATTTGAATTGCAGAAATAGGACAAACTCTTCAACGAATTTATTAAGTAAGTGTGTGTGTGTGATGTATGTTTATGTGTGTATATGTGTGTGTGCTTGCATGTTGTCATTACATTTCAGGGTAAATTAGACTCTTCTTAAATGCAGATTGTCCGAATCACATATTCCAACCCAGGAAATGAATATTGCAACATGGAAATTCACACACGTACCTTTTTAGTAACTGTCTGTCACAGAAGTATGTCAGCACAGCTTCCTATTGTTTTCAGATATAAATATTTTATCTGATTTAAATGAGAACTCAGTAAGAAATAAAAGGTAGGATTTGGTTCCCTTCACAAGGCAAAAAAAGCCAAAATAACTTTAGGAATAGAAGTTTCAAGAAAGATAATTTTGAAAAGGCTTGGAAGGACCAGTGAGAACCTTACTTACCCACAGAGGTGCAGTTTCCCAAAGTGAATGACCTCCCTTCTCCAGCCCTGAGTTGTACCAGCATAATAGGTACTGCTCGGGTGATGTTCAGTGGAGCACAAAGAGCTGATGTGGCTGCTACTACTATAGCACAGTGGAAGTAGCAGGTGCCATGTGGCCCCAAAGTCCCTTGAAAATTCCAGCCTTACTGGATCAGCAGATGAGCTATCAGTTGAGCAGCCAACGTTGATCTTGGGAGGGAAAAATACAAATTACCATGGAGTGGCAAGTGTTGAGATGATTCACCACTTTATTATTTCCCAGAGAGCCCATTTGCCTGGAAAAATGTGTTCTTGAATAATTTAGGAATACAAAATTCTGTTTATGAATAATATAGTACACTACCTTTACACAAGAATCTCTCATAAAGCACCTCAGTGCTTCATGAAAAAGTCACTTCTTTCCTTCTCCCATAGGAAAAGCAGAGAATATGGAAGAGAGTCCAGAGTTTTACTTTTGGTCTTCCTTACAAGCTGGACTGCGACCCAAGTAAATACAAATGAACACTGTGAACCATTCCCCTTACTCTGACAATGAGCTTTTCTCACTCCTTAGGGAAATAGCTTGGTACAGTGAGAAGAGGCCTGAGCCAAAATTTATGAGACCTGGGTTCTGGTCCAAGCTTTGTCACAAGCTGTTTCTGTCACCTTGGACAAGTCCCTGCATTGCTCTTTACCGTACTTTCCTTATTTACAAATTATGAGCTTGGCCCAGGTGATCAGTGAGGTCATTTCTAGCTCTAACATTCTGTGATTTTATGAGGTAGGAGCATATTCTAACCTTTGATTTTTTAAAATACACTATGTCCTCAGGGCTTACATCCCTTTTAGAACATCTCATAGATAATTAATTAATTCCTATGTTGACAATTGCTGCAGAATCTGTTTTGATAGGAACAAAGTTTGAATTCTCCATTTATTCTAAATCTCATTTAAGAATATTAGAAATATTATTGCCTGGGTTACATACCTTGAATAACTACCATTCAATCTGGTGGCAGTTTCCAGTCTGTTAGATACAGAGGGGTGTGTGTGTGTGTGTGTGTGTGTGTGTGTGTGTGTGTGTGTAGGGTTCATCCTTTTATTGAACATTTTTTTTTTCAGAATTAAAGTTCTGTTGAATATAAGACCAGAAAAAGAGAGGGAAGATAAAACTTGAAAGAAAAGAGAGGGAGTCTGGGGTGGGGGGGAAGAGATATGACATATATCTATAAAGAAATAAGAATAGTGATCTGAGCTAATTGAAGCAGAAGAAAAATCTAAAGTTAAGTAAAATTATATAATGTATACTTTCTTTAATCTTTTTTCTGGATTTTAGAGTTTTCCCACATTTTCTTACAAATGCTAGATTGATTCTCATCACTAAAATGGATTAATTGGGCTAGAAATGACCCCGAGAAGTTTGATTTGTCTTTAAGACTCCAGTAATACTTTACATCCTTCCCTGGCATCTTCTGGCCATCTGCTCTGCCCTCCCCCTTTCCACCAGACCTCTCTGGCCTTGGAATCATAATCAAATCAATACTGCCAAGATTACTGCAAAGGGTATATCAATCAACTCCCCTGTGGCTCTGCTCTCCAAAACAGTGACTTCCAAAACCAAAGTATATTTTCCTGGCTATCATTTCCCTATCTGTATTATTTCTCCCTATTAGAATAGCAGTTCTTTGAGTGCAGGATCTGTCTCATTTTGTACTTGTATCTCAGTTATTGGGCTATAGTACAAAATAAATGTTTTTTTATTCATTCATTCACGAGCCTACCATCTTTAATTTGTGATAGATGCTACCAAACTGAGCCATTACTTTGTCAGAGTATGAAACAAGGCAGAAATATCTCTTCATTGTGCATAACTCATATTTAAGATAAACACACGATTCAGATTCTGTTCTAAATAAAAGAAATTTTGTTAACAATTTCTTTTTTTATTCAGAGTTCCTCATTGGTTATACATTGTAGTCTGTTCACAATTAGATGTATGAACAGATAGATGAATAAAGTCACTAATTATGAGATAGTGAGATATAAAAAATACTCAAAATTTTAAGAAGACACAGAATGCCTAGTACAACATGGTACTTTCTTTAGGATCACTTGCATCCCTTCTGTTTAATTAAATTTAGCAATGCTGAATCATTTTTTCTTTTTACTGAGCCTCTGTTCTATTCCAATGTTTCCCCAATGGTGATACAAGAGGGCAACACTCAAACTTTTGTTTGAGGTTCTTCTTTCTCCAGATTTAGAACACTAGTAGAGTGAAATTCTTACTACTCTGTTTAGCCTACAACTGATTAGTTATTTTTTCCATTCTTATTTTGGTGGTGTAGAGCAGGTAGGTGGTGCAGTAGATAGAATATTGGGCCTGGATCAGGAGGACCTGATTTCAAATGAGGCCTTAGACATTCATTAATTGTGTGACCCTGGGTAAGTCGCTTAACCTTGTTTGCCTTGGTTTCCTCATCTGTAAAATGAGCTAGAGAAGGAAATGACAAACTACTCTGGTATCTTTGCCAGGAAAACCCTAAAACAGGGTCACAAAGAATCATACATGACTAAGGGACTATTACATATATATATATGGCCTTGGGAAAATCCTTTTAGCTCTTTGGTCTCAGTTTCTTCACTGTAACATAAGATATATTCCAGCTCTAATATTCCATGATTTTATGGTAAACATAGCCCAAAATCAATGGAATCATCTGTATTGAGTTGTCTTCTTTCAGGGCAGGTAACTCAGGAGAAGAGGACATCATTCTGCTCTATGTGACTGTTTTCAACTGAAATTAACTAAAACTTAAGCCACATACTCTACACTTCTTTTCCTGAGCTGATTCCTTTCCCAGTCAGGGCCAAAATTTGATTCACATGTTTGCTAGATTTTTTTTTTTCCTATATGCTTCTGATCAAGGGGATGTTTACATTTTTATAATCCATGTCAAGTCCTCGCTTCTAGCTTGGGGGAGCCTAGTGTTGACAGAACTTTTAAAAGGACCTAATCTTTTTTCTTTTGTGAACACCTTATAAACAGAAAGACCATAGCAGTTAGTTGGGTTTTTTTTTTTTGGCAAGGCAATCGGGGTTAAGTGACTTGCCCAGGGTCACACAGCTAGTAAGTGTCAAGTGTCAAGTGTCTGGTCTGAGGTCAAATTTGAACTCAGGTCCTCCTGACTCCAGGCTCAGTGCTCTATCCACTGTGCCACCTAGCTGCCTTTTTTTTTTAAGATTGCAGTCTAGTTTCCCCACAGGTGAATAACCAAATTAATTATCTGTTCCTTAAATTCTTCAATGAAATCTAAAATTTTATTATGGCTTACAGAAATTAACTAGTTTAAAACAGGCATCAATGAAAACCATATTTCCACTATTAGGATATATACCTTCCTTTGCCATGGAACATATATGTTTTATGTTGCTAATAATGAAGAATGACAGTATAATGAGACAAAGGCAAAACAATATTTTTTTTTTGGTAAAAAACTGTTTTTCTAAAACTATTAATTTGCTTTCCTGAAAATGGAAAAATGCATGAATGTTAAAGAACTATACTGGGCGAAAATATCAGAAATACTATGAAATTAAATGCAGACTCACTTTGCTTGGAAAACTAAAGACTTAAAATAATAATATTTTATACATTTTCTCATACTGTGTAAGTCATATTTACAGTAAGTTGTTCTAGATCAGGGGTGGGGAAACTGCAGTCTCTAGGTCCTCAAGTGTGGCCTTTTGACTGCATCCAAACTTCACAGAACAAATCCCCTTAATAAAAGGATTTGTTCTGTAAGACTTGGACTTAGTCAAAAGGCTGCATGGGAGGCCTACATCACATGTGGCCTCAAGGCTTGCAAGTTCTCTATCCCTGTCCTAGAGTCTATACCATAAAGAGTAATAAAGTGGTACTATAATAAAATTTTCCATGGAATTTCTGTAATGTTTCTAGTTATTTCTTCTACCAATTTCTCTCTATGGTAGGTAAGGAAACATTTCACAATGCCAGGATTTAAATTTTAGAAATTAATCTTAATATGACAATGGTTCTACATTTTAGAAAAACAGATTATGGGTAAAAAAAACAAAAACAAAAACAAAATAAATCTCCAAACACCTGACACATCCTTGCACAAAAATTTTTAGTCATATTATGTGAAATTATTTGTGACTTTTTCTTTTTCTTTTTTCTTTTTTTTTTTTATCTAGAAGCACCCTCTCAAATTACAATGGAAGAAAGTAGAATACCTCAAATTGGATAATTGTGTTCTCATTCACATTCAGATCCCGAGTTGTAATGGAGTGCTCACCAACTTCATTTGACACAAATACCATAGCTGAATCTTCCTCACTATCATGAAAGAAAAACAACATGGTATTCATATATTTACAATAGAAGAGCAATTTCTATAAGAGGTGATGTGGCATAGTTGAAGTCATGGACACATAGGCTCTAATCTTGCCTCTGACATATATTAGTAGTGTGATTATGAGTAAGTCACTTAACCATTCAGGGCCCCAGGCAAGTTTCTAAGACTATAAATTACCGATGAGTTCCTGATTTGCAACAGCAAGGAGAGTTTCCACAATCACAGTTCCCTATATTCATGAGATTAGAGGTTGGACTAAATAAAAAAAAAAAAGGAGAGGGGGAAAATCAATTTATATGGAGAAGTGATTTTTAAAACTTCCAGGTCTTTAAAATAAATACTTACGGTGCCCCTTTTGAAGAATATGGGCAATAAAGGCCAATGTTACCACCGGGATAGAAAAACCAATTATCTTCTTTGGGTCCAAAGTCAAAGGTATCCAGGAGGATTACAGGATTGTTTATATTATTCCCATCAATAATAAAGTCATCAACAATCCAAATTTCTTCTTTCTTGCCTAAATGATTTTCAGATGAAGAAAAATTTCAAAAGTGAAAATCTAGTTTTGCCTCTTGGAAAAAATTCAGTTAAGTTAAACATATGTTCCCAGAATAAAAAAAAAACATAAAATGCATGACAGTTTATTTACAGTGATTATGAGAAAAATATGTTAAGAATCTCATAACCATCTTAAGTTGACATAGCACAAAAAAGACTCACAAATTTCAGAATTCCTGTGATAGAAAACATGTTTTGAAAAAAAATGTGTCTTTCATTTTAGAAATTGACCCACCAACTACAGGAAGACATGACTTTTGAGCTGTTCATCCGCATTTTCTTGTCCCCAGAGTGATCAATACCTACTTTTGTAAAATTACTAGATAAATTTAGGAATGTAGTTTATGATCATAGGAAATGAGATAACTAGTAGAGTCATCAATGATTAGGCTCATCAACATGATGTTTTAACCAACTGGGCTAATAGTTTACTGGCACATGGAAATGGTATCTTTAATTAGATTATTATAACAATCATACAGAAGGAAATTCCTTCTTGTTACATGAAATTCTTCTTTCCCTAATACTTGTTATAATCTTGGATTCTTTGGCAGAACTGTTTAAGTGTGTGAAATTCCTGATGGATCCTTGATCTTATGAATGTGGGCATTCTCTTCACTACTGCAAATTACAATCCATCCATACTCTCTCATCCTGTGCTATTCTTGTCAAGCATGTCAAGCCAGCTATAAAGAATTTCCTTAATAAATCTTTCACAAACTCTTTGCTTATTCCAATAGATTTAATATTCTAGATCAGAGGTGTCAAACATGCAGCCCGAAGGCTGCATGCAGCCCACTTCCCAGTGCCACCCAACCAGATAAATGTAATTGGGAAATATTTAACAAAATAAATAAAAATATAATAAGACATAAACAATATCACATTTTAAAGCTTAGTCAATATGTGGCCCACAGGGATCCTTATGTACAGATTAGTGGCCTTCTTTCCTATTTCAGTTTGACACCACTGTTCTAGATCATGGGGTCTTTGAATTTAGTTATCAAAAAGTATTTCAACTTTCTTGGTTTCCTTTATAATCCTGTGCATTGTATCCATTCAAAGATGTTATTCTGACAACTGATCCATAGACTTCACCAAATTGCCAAAGGGGTCCATGACACAAAAAAAGGTTAAGTATCCTAGACCTTCTTCTATATGCAGTGTAATTTTTTTAAATGCTTGTTTTAATTCTTCTAGACTCATTTGTTATAAAAGTTACATGAAGAGATTCCATTTTATAGATGATACTCCAATACTTTCTTTACCATTCTGGACTATTTACCTTTCTAGAAGCCTGTGTAATAAAATTGTGTTTTTGTAATTTGACGGCAATGAAAAAAGTGAAATGCTTTAGAAATGGACAATAGAAGCAAAGCAGGAAAATACCATCAATTTGCAGGAGCATTTTAAACCACCGTTTCAAACCTGCATTAAACTGTATTTCTTTCAGTGACATCTCAGTGAAGAAAGAATACTAAATAGAATGTGATTTAAAACAGGCAACTGAAACACTTAGCCTCAGTACTTTCTATTCTGTCAAACTATGTGCCTACAATATTGTTCCATCTTTTGAATAACACTCTACACTTTGAAAAAAATACTCATATATACATGTACATAATTATTTCAGCAAAAATTGATATAAGTGAACAGTGCTAAGAAGTAGCATTTTACTGCAATTGAAGTCCATATTTTGGAACATGTCTCTATGTTCTTCCTTGGCATTTATCATAGCCATATTCATCTCATGAAGGGAAACCAAAGCTTTTGAAACGATGAATTAGAGTAGTGACAAGGTATTATATTTGAAAATCCAAATCACCTCAGCCATACTAAAGAGTTAATGATCTGTGCACAAAACATCCTCATTTAGTTTGAAGCTTGAATCCTCATGATCATAGGGAAAGAAGTGTATATTTTACCATTATTGTAGGGCTGCCAGAGCCGGAAACGTGTGGCATTGGTTTGTGCTGTGTATGGCAGAGGAACGTTTATAAAGAGGACATTGGTTGTTTGTGTGAAGTAAAACTCATCCATTAAGTGCCAAATGATGCCCCCACTGATGGAGTACTGTAATAAAATGGAGTGAGATCTCTCTGGGGTACCTAGAATGAAGAGAACACACACATTAATATGTCACAGAAGAGGAGAAGTGGCATAGACTAAGCTAATTTTTTTGCACCAATGCAAGAAATCTCCCCTCTGCGCCAGCAACACATACACATTTGAACGCCAAGACAATCCTTCAGATTCTTGGTAGGTAAGCTTCTGTTTATGAATCAGGTATCCTAAATTACAGGCCAGAGGATACTCAAAGAGCAAGTAGGTACATGACCAAGAACACACAATAACCACACACAAAAGCTTACTTAAGCAAAAACAGACAAACAAAAAACCCAATGTCTTTTGGCTCATTCATTGGAAAAACAGCAACCATTTTCACAAAATTTACCCAAATCCTGTTATACAGAAAGGTATTCCCATAACTCATGTAATTTAGAGCTAGAAGGAACTTTAGAGGTCTAGTCCGACTCCTTCATGTGCTGGACATAGAGCACTGTGGAAGGCACTGGGGAGATACAAAGTCTAGATAAAGTCTGATCCCTATCTTCCTAGAGCTATGGATGAGAAGGTTAAATGAAAAAGGAGCGTAATATTTCACAAGGCCTAATTCATTCACATGAAAAATCAGAGTGTAAGAGGGGAGACTTTTGGAAAAGTCAGTAAAGAATTTATTTAAAATAGCTTAAGAATTACTGTCCAAGATACATTTTAAAGTAAAGTTACAAATTCTTCAAAATAGAAAGCGTCAATGGAAAAGCATATGGAAATGATGGCAAAATTAGCTACAGTAGAGTTAGAATTATCATTATAGTTAATAAGATCATTCAAAAAAAACTACATTTGATCCACATTTGGCAGAGGAGGAACATATTATATGCTAAGAGTAATTGATAACTAAATTGACATCTAAAATTAATGTTAAAATAATCAATTAACATTTGTGAATACTTAGAAATTAATGTCAAATCTTCACCTTAAATATGCTGTATTTGCTGCAAATCCTTCATTCTTACTGGGGGTAGGAACTGTTTAATGGGCAGTTTTTTAGGGGAGGATATAAAGACATGGTTCCAGCTGTGTAGCTTACCTTTTGCAATAAATCTAAGTGAAAACTGGACATATAAGCTCTTAGAACAATCTAGGTCTCTGGAAATGAGCATCCTTAGTCCTTCCTGAAAACAGAAACATATAGGATAAATAAGTCACTTTCTATACTACTTTCCTGAAAGTTGGTTTACTTAAAGGTATACTAAGAAGGTCCTGAAAAGATCAAGAATTCCCAGACATGCAGTGAATTACAAATTCCATAAATATTTATTTCAATCATTTTATCTGCATAAGTGGGACTTTTTGGGGGGCCTACAAAACTCTTCTCATAAGGGCTAATATTTCCTTTTACTCAAAATAAATCTATCATCTCAAGGAAAAACCACCTACTTGCTATGAATTTCAAAAAGCAATGCAAAAATGGTAGCCTTAAATATCTTTAACATAGAGCTAATAATAGTACCCACCTCAAAGGGCTGCTTTGAGCATTAAGTGAATTAATGATATATATGAAGTGCTTTGCAAACCTTAAGGCACTATCTCAGAGCTACTATTATTATTTGCAGGAATATTTAAGCATAAACTCTTTTTAACATAGCTAGATGGGAAAGGAGTAACATGCTAAAAGAAGGGAAATGTGCCAAGGACCTCAGCTGGATGCCTGAAGCTACTGGGTAACTTTTTTTTCCCAGGGTTCCAAGAATTCCTATAAGCTAAGTACTGTGCTTTAGCTCATTCAGACAACCCCTGCGGCATGCATTCTGGCTGATGAATAAACCCCTACACTTCTTCAAGTTAAATAAGGCATAATTAAGGTTAAATTCTTATGCCTGGGCTTCAGTAATTCATGCAGGGAAGTTTTGGACTGCCAGAAAGAGATTAAATTAGCTCTAGTAATTTTTCAGCTAATTTACTATTTTTGGTTACCTGGGCCTGACAGTCCTAAAGGTTGATATCTTCTCAGGTCCATGGGATAGTTGTGACAACTGACAAACTGTATTCTGCTATACAAAGTTCTTATGATGGGAGTTACATAATTATATAATCCTTATATAGGAACTAAAATTCTTTATTCTTTCTGATCTATAGTTTTCTAGCCACAACTTTTGCACCAAGAGGCTATTTAGTGGCTTAGGCTAAAGGAATATTTGAGTATGTTTCTGCTAGCCATTAAACGAATACTTTCTGCTAACATATCTGCAAACTGGTAACGTTAGTGGAAGGCATGGCATATCACTGCTTTAAGAATATGTAGCCTTGGGTTTTATGAGATAGGTGGACAATATAGCAGTGGATAGAGGGCTGGACATGGAATTAGCAAGACTTCTGTTCAAATCTGACTCTGACACTTAATAGTTGTGTGACCCTGGTCAAGTCACTTAGTCTCTGCCTAAGTTTCCTCAACTATAAAACTGCAGTAATAAAAGCACCTACCTTGTGGGGTTGTTATGAGGATCAAATGAGATAATATTCACAAAGTGCCTGGCAAATAATCTGCACTTACTAAAAGCTTGTTCCCTTCTTATCTTCTCTAGATAAATTAAGTGTTTATTAAGTGCTTACTACCTGCCAGGCACAATGCTATGTGCTAGAGATACAAATACTAGCAAACGAGATAATCCTGAGGTGCTCTCTTCATGGTTACTTGTTGTCTCTCTTCCAGTTTCATGTACCAAGATTCTCAGAATAATCTAGCTTAGCGGAGTGTCATGCCAAGTTTTCTGCATGTTTCTTGTTATTTCATGAGGCAGAACTATTCATAATCTTTCATTATTCTTTCCTGTAAGGGACTTCATGAACTTTCTTCCTAAACTCATGTCCTTAGTGGTTTCTGGCCTTGGAGCTGCTTTAATCACAGGCAATATCTTCTTAACTTTATCTTTCTAATTTGGTTTTGATTTTCATCTTTGCTATAAGTAATGACAGATTGTAGATAACCTTAAGGGCTGGTAGGTGGCAGAATGGATAGGGTGCTAACCCTAGAGTCAGGAAAACTCATCTTCCTGAGTTCAAACCTGGTCTCAGACAGTAGCTGTGCAAGTCACTTAACTGTGTTTGCCTCAGTTTCCTCAATTATAAAATGAGTTGGAGAAGGAAATGGCAAACCACCCCAATATCTTTGACAAGAAAACCCAAAATTGGGTCATGAAGAGTTGGACTAAAATAAATGAACAACATTAACAAGCACCTTAGAAGTGTCATTTTGGGTTTTTGTTTCTCTAGCACCTAGCACAGTGCCTAACAAATAGTAGATGCTAAATAAAACACTATTTATTGATTGATTTAACTCTTCACAGACTGATTTTAAACTGACTCATAATAGTAGCTATTTTCAGTCAGAATACAGCTTCATTTTTACATGTGATATTGTTCAGTACTCACTGTACCTAGAGTATTCTGACTCTAGTATTCAAAAAATGTAATTTACTTTGACATATCAAGCACTTCTCAATAAATATCTAACTCCATAGTACTTTGTTTCGTTTTTTAAAAAGTTAAGCAAAACAATCTACTGTGGTGATTGTGACTGAAGGTATATGCAACTTGCCATTTTTGTAGCTTATTATTTAACAACAGAATATAAGAATATATTTTAACTTCTGTTATTTGGAATCACTGTCCATTGTGTTTGCCTTGAATTGGGTTGCCTTTTATTGTTGCTTTCCTTCCCGTTATTGTAGTAATTATGTAGATTGTTCTTTTGTTTCTCCTTTCTTTTCTCTGCATCAGTTCATATTAGTCTTTTCAAGTTTCTCTGAATTCTTCCTATTCAATATTCCTTGAAGCATAATAACATTGTCTTTTTTCAAATTTTTTTTTTACCATTTTTGCCAATGTGAGATATCTCAAAATTGTTTTAGTTTGCATTTATTTTGTAATTAGTAATATAAAACATTTTTTTATGTGGTTGTAGATAACAGAATTTTTTCTCTTGAAAACTATTCATATCTTTGACCACTTCTCTGTTGAGAGAGTGAAATGACCCTTAGTCACATAGATTTATATTAATTCTGTATGTATTTTGGACATCAGGCTTTTACCACATCTGTCTCTTTAAAGAAAGTATTCCTAAGGTAGAGGTTTATAGATCCTGAGTAATCCACAAGATAATGACCTTTTTCATTTCCTGATCCTGAGCCATTCAAACCTAAGTGTTTTTTTTTTAACTTTTGAATTTTTTGTTTTTGCCTTTTGCCCTCCTTTGTTTAGAAGTCACAGAAGATCAGGGTAGATCTTGACTCAGTTTGGAGGATCTTGTTAAGTTCTTCATAGAATTTCTCTGCTTCTCAGCTAGTGCATAAGCTGAAATGAACCTCATTGTGATTTCTTTGCTTTTGCTCCTTTTGAGTACTGCAGGGTGAGATGACATGTGCCATGAAATGACATTTATTACTATCTTGGGGTACATGTTAAAACTAATTCTGCCAACTCCTTTATTCACTGCTTTAAGGAGCACCTGACTTTCCATTTACAGCTTCTTTATACCTTTTTGGTTTAATTTGTAGTGAGAATGTCAGTGTAGAGGTGGTTCAATTACTCTTACAGTACACCCGCTTTTTTAAAAATAGACACAGATTTCACATTAGATAACAGCAGTTGAGTTAATGTTTATAGATCTGTGTGATTCTTACTACCCAATATCCCCTTTATCTACCTCTCCTGCACTGTCCCTGAGGAATTAAAAGAAGATGACATAAGACTAACGAGTGTTTTCTATTTTTGTCCGTATCCAAAGTTGTCCTGGCCCCAAGTTAATCAACCAACTAGTAGCCAACTTTCTGGTTGTTAGCTAGGCTATTCCTCAGAAGACAGAGCCTATGGTTGGGCTGTTAGAACCTATCAAAACTTATGTTCACTGGCCACAGTCTTTAGGAACCAACAGTTACCTCCACTTCTTGATAAGGCATCAGATTAGAACTTACATTTTGGTAGCTATTATATCTTGGCTTTTATAATATATTTGGTTATGTCTAATTAATATGATGCTGTCATTGGTAACACAATTGCCAGTTATCACATGGAACACTGTGATTTGCTTTATAAGCATCCATTTTATGGGGCAGTTTTGGAGAATTAATTTTGTAAAAAATTAGGGACTTACTATGCTAGAGAAAGAACCTTCCTTGTACTTAAGTACAGTATATTATATCACATATTTACTTAAAGTAGAATTAGAGGGTCATAGATGGAGAGCAAGAAGGGACCTTAGAGGTCATAATTTTATGATAAGGAACTGAAGTCCAGAGAAGTTAAGTGACTTGCCCAGAGTCACACAGCTAGTGACTGTTATGTGTCTGAGGTTGGATTTGAACTCAGGTCCTCCTGACTCCAGGGCCAGTGCTCAATCTACTGCGCCACCTAGCTGCCCCCAATTCTTTCATTCTTAAAGAATACATTAAAAATATACATTTCCATGTCTACCTATGGAATATATGGAGACCACCCTTGGAGCCCTCACCAAATCCTACAAAGCTGATAACATAATTTATATGGAAAATGCTTGGTTGTTCTCGTACAGGGATAGCTGAACAGAAAACGTATAGAGGTTTGTCTGTCTTCACTTTGGTTTTTAAAAAAGTGAAGAGATTCAGGATCTTGATAAAAACAGAAGCTTTCACTTCTGTTTTCTTGTCAATTTCTTCACAAAGAAGAATCAGGAAGGGCTCAGTAAAGATGTTAATTAAAAGCTTTGTTAGCAAGACTGAAAATATAACAGCAGTTTTCACTTTTAAACACATCTTTCTCTCCTACTTGGCCCTAGGGATTTTTACACCCCAGGGCGTCAAACATGTTTCTTTCTCATCATTAAACACCTTGGAAGAATTCTGGATGCAAACAAGGATTATTATAGGCATGTACTTCTTATAATTGAAAAAGTTCTAGGGTGTCTAATTTTCTAAGTTGTAGGTGTTAATCATCTAAGGTAGTGTAGATTTTGGAAATTTTTTTTTTAAAGATTTCATTTGCACAACTAGATTAATAGCTTTCCACATGCTGAGAGGTAGCAGATACAGCAAGGGTTCAAGGAAGCAGTCTTACCGGGCTGACAAAAGTACCTCACACAAATATAACACAGTAATCAGACAGCTTTGTTGAAACACATACATATATACGATTTTAAAATTTCATGGAACATGGCTTAGATATTTGATTTTCATTCATTCCTGAAATAACAACAAAAACAGTAATAATTCTGGCATTTACATAGTGCTTTAAGGTTTGCAAAGCATTTTACAAATACCACAGCTTATCCTCACCACAACTCTGGGACCCCTATTATCCTCATTTTATAGATGAGGAAACTAAGGAAAACAAAGGTTAAGTGACTGGCCCAGGGTCACACAGCTAGTAAGTTTCTAAGGCTGGATTTGAACTCATTTCTTCTTGACCTGAAACTTCCTTCCTAAAATGAACTACAAGATGTTGCACTCTAGGACAATTCTTCTCTTCCAAATAAGCAAACAAATAAAATAAAAGCCACAGAACTTTCACAAGAAAATAGTTTGTACTATAAATTAAATATATGATCACATGTAAAATGTTATATCCCAGGAGATAGTCTAGATTAAAAAACAAAAATATATTCTTTTTCTTCAGTGGAGAATGTGAAAGCTCTGATAGCTAAAAGCAGAGAAAAGTATCATGTTTAAGTCCTTATGAAAAATGAATGTGCTTAACACAAAGGAAAACATGGCCCAGGGCAGAAGAGGATAATAAAGTGAAAAGTAATGCACATCATAATTAAAAAACACATTCTTTTGAATGGAGAAGGAAAAAGTCATAATTAAAAATATTAAAATTCATAGCCAGAATCTTATCTGACCCCTTTGAAGATAAGCGAAGTTCCAGATTTAATGGTTTCCCCATTTAGGTTTCCTCTCTCTGCACCATACACTGCAGGCCAAAGATCTGGATGTAAATTACCATTGAAGTCATCTTTAAGAACCGAGGGCAAGGAAGCAATAGGAACACAGTAAGGCCCACCGAAGCCCCTATCACACCTAAGGGAAAAAATGATTAGGAAAAAGCATTATTGCTGAGGAAAAGTAAACACTAAGATGACTCAATCTGGCTTTTGCAGTAGGAAGAAAACATCTTTTTGACTACTTACACACAGTGTCCCAACTCACAGATTCCATGTCCTGAGCACATCCAAGGACACCCAGTTGCTAATACAACGTTATCAATAGCCCAGGAATCAGCACCAGGTGTATAGTTTGACTGAATCCATCTGAACCTTGTCCTGGGAGAGCTAGGCAAAGAAGAGTGGTCATTCAGCCTTATGAAAGTCATATTCAATAGAAAAATGATTTTAATATAGTTCTCTCTTTAACTTGCTACTTTCTCTAGTTTTAATTGTACTGATCAAAAGTAAGTTCCTTAAGAATTGGCAGATTTTTTTTTCTATATTTCATCATAGCTATGTCAAATGAAATGCGAAGGAAAGATTTCAGTCACTTCATTTAGTCTTTACCGGAAACACATGCAAGTATTCCTGTGAGATAGGAAAAGACCAGGGATGGAACTACTGTAAAAGAATACAGACCATCCTCTTAATTATTAATAATCCAGAAGTTTATTTGCAAGTTGGATGTTTAGAACTCACAAGATATTTCCCCAGAGAAACAATGTTGTAAGATGCAGGTTCCCAGAGCAGTCCTCAAAAAGTTATTTAACTCAAAATGTGCTTATAGTATGGTGCTAATGAAATATAGTTTCCCTGTTGTTTACATTGGAAGGGTATGGGAAAACAGATATTTTCTCTTTTAAAACTTCTACCCAAGCACAAGAAGTTTAGTTTCTCTCCCATGTGATTATCCTTAAAATGTAGATGGTACAGTGCTAGATGGCAGTTAGCTGGTGCAGTGATAGAATGCTGGGCCTGGAGTCAAATCTGGCCTCAGACACTCCCTAGCACTGGATACTCTGACTTTCCATGCAGTCTAAGATTGTTGTTTGTTATTCCTAATCAGAGGTGCTGGATAAAGGGGCTGTGGTTCCAACTTTAAATAATTTATCTACAATCATGGGATTGTAGGATTATAAATTTAGAGCGGCAACAGACCTTAGAGGCCACTGAGTCTACCCCCCTACATTTATAGATGAAGAACTGAATCTCAGACAGGTGAACAGACTTGTCCAATGTCACAAAGATAGTATATGATGAAGTATATGGACCTAGGTCCTCTGACTCAAAATCCTTAGTCCTGTCCACTATGCCATGTTTGGGAACTAGAGAAGTAGAAAAGGAAAAAATCCTGAGCTGAGAGTCAGCAGACCTGGGTTCTAGCCCTTCCTTTGCTAACAAGTAATTGTATGTTTCTGAGAAAGTCACTTCATCACTCTAGGTTTCATTTTCCTCATGAGTAAAGTGAAGTGGTTGGAAGAGACAATCTGTAAGATTTCTTCCAACTATGGGATTCTATGGGACGGGTTTTGATTTGATGTCATGCTGAAGATCAGATTGTTTCAATGCTGACACAGAAATAAGAAACCCATGATTCTTGATGTTATGAAATCATCTTGCCAGCAGGAGCAAATACGACCTGCCATTATGGACAGAGGCATTATTTCCTATGCTGTGATCACTTTCAGGTTTGTTAGTACTACCAGACGAAATGCTAGGTTAAGTGAAAAGTTCTCTTTGATATAATATGAGAGCATGACATTTCATTTAAATCTTATACTACTTATCAGGGTCATTGTTAACATCTTTGGCCTTGTTAACATTTCAGCCTTATACTATGGATGAAATCAGGAAAGATTACACATTTAATAATAAAAGGCTCGGTTTTGCCCATCCATTTCTGCAACTTGACTGATGCACCTGTAATCTACCACCATCCTAAACCAAAAGGTGCCCAGTGATATATATTCTGGGAATAGGTACAAGTAGCCAGAAACAATATCATTAGCTATGGATAGTTGGTTAGTCAGTAAGCATTTATTAAGCACCTGCTATATGCCGGGAACTGTGCTAAGTGATCAGTAGCAATTTAGAATATATGTGAGGAGAGAAAAAAAGAGTCAGCCTTTAAGAAGTGGTATCAGAGAGACTAAAAGAGATTAAGTCTGTTTTCCCCTACATTGTGTTTTACTAAGTATGAGAGAGATATAAGTTAAGTGTCAGCCTGGGATGGGGGCAATACTCATTTGCATCTTTGCTTTTGACTATAACTTGGCATTAAAAGGAATGTTCAGTCTGCAGTCATCCTTGTCAACAGGAAGGCTTAAGGAAGTGGAATTTTCCAAATCCTTTAGTTGATTGCATTACATTTAAATCCATTTAGTAATGCTATCTAAAGTGCTGTACTCCCCTTCGGTCCCGACCCACTGAGCATATTCCACATGTAATTATCAAGAAAGATTCATAGATTTCCCCAGGGGGTCACTTTTTTTTTCCAAATTAGATGAGTGCAGCTTATAGTTCTGACATGTAGCCAACATGATAATTCTCACATGGTAGACAATGGAAGGTAGACCGTGACTCGCTTCCAATTCTGGAATCTTTCCGAGGTGTAAATTGAACTTTCCGTGTAATGCAGACAACCAATAGTTGGAGGAACACACTCTTCAGTGACAAGATGCCAGTCTCTCCCATTGTTTAGGGAATACTGGAGTTGGACACTATGGGAGTCACTGAAAGGTTTGGTGCAGCCCATGCTCAGCTCAAACTGGAGAAAAGTAGAAGCCGTCACATGAAAATCCCAGGTCTCAGCATAGCGAGGTTTTCCTAAGAAATGAGATGGGAGAGGAAATAACATTTTTCACTTTGCTCATTGAAACTCTATGTTTGTAGCTAAATTTTTAGCTAGAAAAGAGAAAAATCCTCTTCTTAAGCATATCATATTTGTTTTGTTTTCCCCCTTCACATCAACTCATGTTTTATTTGTAATGCTAGGAACATAGTAGTATGAATTGCTAACTCAAAACACTTCACTTCCAGGATTATAGACAACAGAAGGCTTCAAATTAGTAAGTCTACAAATTAAAAATATGATGTCATCATAGAGTCGAAGGGGACAACATAGCACAGAGGAAATATCACTGGCCAAGGACCTGGATTCAAAGATCACCTTTGATGCTTACTATCTGAGTGACCTTTGGCAAGTAATTTAAAGTCTCAAGGCCTCAGTTTGCTCATCTGTAAAATAAAGAGGTTGCACTAAATGATCTCTAAAGTCCTCCTTTCCAGCTCTGGGTCTGTGATCTTATGATATTCGCTCTATATTTAAAAAAGACCTAGTCATGCCATTCCATTCTTGGTGAAAGACAAACAGCACAATGAGTGAGCTACTGTAATATCCAAACTATGTGAGGAGGCAGATATCTCTGGGTCTTAGAAATATACTTGCTCCAGGTGGTTAGGGAGAAAGATTTTTATTACATGATTTCCTTTTTAAAACCCATAAAGACATAGTTCCTGCGGTGAATCCCATATCCTCCCTTTACCTATGCTTTCACTGAATGTCAGAGCAGTATCCATAGAGAGACAGTCAATATCTACTTGACCTCCTTGAATTCTGTACCAATTGGCTTGTAAATCTATTGAACCATCAAATTTATCCTTAAAACCGGTTTGAGAGCTGTCATTCATTCCTATAAGCACATCATCCAAGGCCCACTGTGCTGAGTGCTTTCCTGAAATCAGATAAAAATGGACAGTTAGTAGAATGCCATTGCATGGCATTATTTAATATAGCGCATAAATATGGAGACTGTCTTGAACTGACCCAGAAATAATACATGATTCTTGATATTATTAGGTCACCTTTCCTGCAAGATCGAGTACAACTTGCCATTACTGATAGATATAAACTCTTAGATGAAAGGCCAATCCAACTTTTGGTGCATTGTAGCTTACCGTGTTGGGGTTGCCACCATCGAAAAGCTGTTGCAGATGTCTTGGCCTCCCGTGGCAAATCTATGGAAATGATCTGTGGTTCTAGAAAAGACATGAAGTCTAGCTCTCGAAGTAAATGCCATAGTATTCCATTATCATTTGAATATTGAACTACAAGTCCTGGATTAAAGAAGATAGATAAATCCAGTTAGTTGGATGCTCACCCGGCCGCCACTCTACATCAGATCATTGTCTGGAAATTTTCTTTTGCTTGGACTTTTGGTCCTAATTGGTTTCTTTGCCTCTTGTTCCTCCCATTGCTAATCCATCCCTCTGTACAAAGATGTCAAAATAATATTGACTATACCACTTCAGTGGCTCCCCATAACTTTGTTCTAACCAAACATTTGTAAAATCAAAAACGGATTTAATTCTATTCTGCTAAGACTTCATCAAGCTACACTTAATATTCCCTTTCACAGTTTACCTTAATTTCTACTATAATACTTTACAGCCTCATTTCACTCAATCTATAGTCTAGCAAAATGATTACTCATGCATCACATTGCATTTTATGTTTCTGTGCATTGGCTCAAGTTGCCCTCCCATCTTTAGAATTCATTCTCTCTTAATCTCTGCTTTTTCAGAATCTCTGTCTTCTTTAAAACACCACTTCCTCCATAAAGCCTTCCCTGGTCTTCTCAGTTATTAGTGTTTTTTTCCTCTTTAAATTTTCCTAGAGGATTTTGATTTTTGTTTTGCCCTCATTCTATTTTCCTTTTTTATTATACTTGTCTACATACATGTTATAATTCCACAAAAGAAAGTAAACTTCTTCACAAAATAATCTAAGGTTATTATATTGTGTATGTTTTGATATGGACAACCATAATGCTCCCTTGGTACCCTCATGATAGAAAAAAGAGAAGCAAATCTCTGGCATGTTGGGTTGGAAACCTATGGAAGGGAGTGGACAAGAGTGGCACAGGATGGGGAAGACTTAGATGGGTTGTGATCAGCATCATTGGAGGGAACTTCTAATCTATGGGATCACAGATCCATTTAGGTAATTGAGTACTATTGCCTCTTGGGAAAAGTAATACGATAAATGTTTCTACACTAAATGGTTAGAAATTTATTTCCAGAAATATCTGTATTTTAAAAAGAATCTGAGGTCCTTTTCAGCTCCATATCTGTGATCCTAAGTATGATATACAGGGAGAGATTAATGATGAATATAAATTAGTATGTCATTCACACAGAAATTTCACATATCAGCTGGGGAGATCTTTTCGGGCAGATGACCCTCCTACTACCCCTTGAATCAAATCACAAAGATAACCATCTACTCTGCCTATATGCAAAGCTGTTACTTCAAATTTACAACTTTGTCTCTAAGGGAAATTTGGAATTCTGAAGTTCCTTCTGAATCCTTAAAATCAGAGTACATTACATCAAGGATCTGTGATTGGATCAAAGTGTGTACTCTCTCATCTGACACTACAGTCTTGTAGTCCATCTATAACTCAGAAGATACGTCTTTGGGAATTGCTGTGGACTAAAAAGCTGATCCTCCTGTGATCCAGCTGATGATGAGCATGGCTGAATTTAGCAGACTCTGATGACACACTGCAATCTATCTCTAGTCCTATATAACTAGACTAAAGTGTTCTAAGTATACTGTAATTAAGAAATTGACAACCTATATAGAACATATATGATAGTGCTGTGTGAACCTGGGCATTTAGTCCACCAAAACAAAACAAACACAGTCATGCTGCCTGACAGAGAGTTTACTATAATATGTACTTAGGAACCATCAATACTACTTGGAGGACTGAATGACAAGGTGTTGCCTTATGAGGTGGCATGTCTTGGGAGAAAGAGTATGGTACTGGCAGTCAGGAAACTTGATAACCTGGGTTCTAGACTTGGCCCTGCAATTTTTAAGCTACTTGATTTTTAAAAATATATCATTTAACCAACCCATACTTGAATTTCCTCACCTGTAAACTGAAAATAATAGATTAATAATTAAAATAAAATAAAATGAAATTGTAATAAATTATCAGTGTGTTTTCATCTAGTACATTCTAAGAACACACCAATGGCATATCAGATGATTGCTATGGCAAAGTATATTTTTATGTCGTGGTTGGTATTTTGGATTGTATCTGCAATTTCACTGACATAGGAAAATCTGTTTACTATGGCAGATAGGCACTTGCTCTGCAACTATGGCTCTTTTGATTGACCATATCACCCTGCCTCTCTCTTTTGTGCTTATCATGAAAGAAAAAACAATCTCTTTATACATGAATTGGTGCTAGGAAGAATAGCTAGGGTACTAATACTTATAAGCCTGAGGAGAATTAAACTTGGATTCATTAAAAACTTGAGGCAAGCATCATCATCAAATTCATGAAAGAGATAAAGATAACCTCAAGAATGCTCAAATAGGTAAGGAATATGATTGCTCTACTTCTAGAGTTATGACATTGACAGTATTCTCAAGGATAAAGTGAAAATCACATGTCAGAAGTTCATGTTCTGAGGGTCAGAACCAGGATGAAACACACAGAAAAGCAGAGGGGAATCTGACTTCTATTCTTTATCCATCAGATCAAGGAAACATACTTGGGTTGGGCTACTTAGCAAAAACAAGATCATAATCTTGGCTCAGTCTATTTCTTTTTGGCTTTCAGGAGTTATGGCAGGTAGGTTGAGAGTTATCAATTCTTCTTCCTCCTCCTCCTCCTTCTCTGTCCTCCTTTCCTCTTTATGTTTTTTTTCTTTTTTTGGTAAGACTTAGCCTCCACATCTCACTGAGGCTGGAAGTACAGACCTGATCCCACCCTGATTGGCATGGGAGCTTTGACCTGCTCCATTTTTGATCTGGGATGGTTTTCTTCTCCTCAGACAAGCTGGTGCCCCCTTGCTCTGCAGGGTCACCATATTAATGCCAAATTTCATTTGGCCTACCCCACCTGACTAGCCTATCTCACCAAAGCTCAAAACTGGGCTCAAGAGATGTGCCAGTCATAGCTTCCCTGAAAAGCAGGCATTACAGATGTGTGCCACGATGCCCACATAGTAACACAGTAATATTTTCGGTGAAGGTTTGGCCTGCCTTAGCACTCTTAATTTAGATTGTAATACATTTTAGAAAAATAAAAAAAACAGGAAAAAGTTAGTTATCAAGTGGATAAATAATCCATGGAAAATAAATGTTGATTAATAAGCACAAAATCTCACTGGCTATTTCATTCTCTAGGACAAAGCACTCTAATAGTCATAAAAGTTGTCTTGTACTAAATTAACTCTTTCAGGAGCATCATATTCAACCTTAGGCAGCAACAAAGCCTTGGCAGAAATAAAGCAGCCCATTATGGAGGATAAGCAAAGAAGCCACACTCTGATAAGTGTCAATATGTGGATAAAATGCAAGGGAGGGAAATGGCAATATTCATTTTATCCCATTTGCTGATCCTCATTAGCTGTGTCATTGAACACATTGTATGTCTGAATAAACCAAGCAATTTAAGCTCATCTATCGACTGTTTTAAGGCATGTAAAACATCTCTTTTTACACTGCAACTGCATCTGTGTTCTGCCCAGTCTTAATGAAAATAGTCCAATTCTGATTTTAATTCCAAATATGCAGATTGATGCTTCAGCTTGAGTAAGCCAAAAATCTTTACTTTCATCCCTGTAAGAGATTTGCCCTTGGATTTAGCAGATTTACATTTTAACAGCCAGTTTTCCACAAAAGACTGAGAAGTGACTGCAGGATGCAAATTACACAGAGGGAAGGGGCTTGGGGTACAGGGATTTGAGACTGGTTCAGAAAAAGTTGCTTTTTTCCAACCTTCTCCTTCAGGCAGTATTCCCTACAGTTTCAATCACACCTGCTACTATATCAGAGGTAGATATGGCGCTGAGACCCACACTACACAGGGGTCCTTTGTACTAGAAGATACTTCTGTTCTCTCTTCCTGACTAAGAATTCTTCTTCTAGAGTCTGCTCTTTAAAAACAATTATGAATTCTATCTCCATTATTTAAATGGAACATTGAAGATAAAAGATGAACAAATAAGCAGAAATATAAACTGTTCTTCCTATCTGAAGATGAGGCTACTGAATATATTACTTCAAATTCACAGCATCAATCAGTTAACAGATATTGCTGAGCAGCTGCTACATAGCTTTTATTCTCTTGATACAAAGGAGGTATTATCAGTAAGTCACAGCTCTGAATGCTTTGAGGAATACAAAGAAATATAAAACATGGTCCCTGCCCTCAAGGAGATTATATTATATAGTTAGGGAGCTATAGACATGCAAAGATCATCAAATATGCAAGGCAATGAATGATAACTGACACAACAAATACAAAGAGAGGGATCACTTTAAGCTTGAATACACCATGGCAGCTCTGTGGAGGAGATGTGATTGGAGTTAGATTTTAAGAGATCTGGGATCTGGAGAGAAGAGGAAGAAAGCACTCTGGTGGAGAATGGAGAAAAAAACAGGGGAGCACAAGACGTGTTTAACAGAGAGTGAGTTTGGCTAGAAGGGTGGTTTTTGTGTGGGATTAGTACTAGTAAATAAAGAAGGAAAGGTTCATTTGGGTGGATTGTATAAAATCTCAAATGATAGGACAAGGATTTGGGACTTAATTCTGTAAGTAATCAGAGGCAATATGGCATGGGGGATAGATAGTTGTGAAGTCAGAAAGACCTGGGTTCAATTTCTGATGCATTCTAGCTATGCAACCTTGGGCAAGTTACTTAACCATTCAATGCCCTGGGCTACAACATGTTGCACAGAAGGTGCCAATTTTCATTGGTAAGGGGAGTTTCCTTACTGGACACTTCTGATCCCAGTGAAATCACAGGTTTAGTCTTATCTCATCCTACTGGGACCTATTTGTTTTTGAACAGTGGAGTGATAGAAAAGAAGCCATATATTAGCAAGGTTTATTTGGTGGCACTGTGAGGGATAGAATGTATGGAGAAATTGGAGGCACGGAGACCAATTAGAAAGCTATTATTGCAGTCCAAGCATAACTAAAGCTATCAGTCTCATCAAGTGGGAATGAAAAGAAATGGGAGAGATATTATAAAGAAAGATTTTAGAGATCAGACTGGATATAAAGAATGGAAGGAATTTACAGAATTTGGATGAAAGAAGATGAAAAGAAACCTCAAAGAAGATGCTATAGTTTCTCCTTGTGGTGACCTGCAGAATAATGGTGTCATTAATAGTTTAGAAGCATTTATTAAGTTCGTACTGTGTGCTGACTGCCATTCTAAGCCCTGAGAATACAAAGAAAGGCAAAAGAGTCAGTTCCTGCTCTCAAGGGAGTCAGAGTCCAACATGGGGGACAATATGCAAACAACGATGCACAAAAAAATTATACAGGATAAATGGGAGCTAATCAACAGAGGGAAGACACTAGCATTAAGGAGGGTGAAGAAAGGCTTCTTATAGAAGATACAATTTTCGCCAGAACTTGAAAGAAGCCAGGGAAGGCGGGAGGGAGGAGGAAGAATGTTCCAGGCCTGTGAAAATGCCGACTCTAGAGATGGAGTGTCTTGTGCAAGGTACATCAAGGCGGCCGGTGTCACTGGACTTCAGAGCAATGATGGGGAAGAAAGCTTAAGAAGACTGGAAAGATAGGAGGGGGCCAGGTTGTGAAAGGCTTTGAATGACTCGAAAGGGATTTTATGTTTGATCCTGGAGGGGATAGTGAGCTGCTGAAATTTATGGAATTGGGGGTGGTAGTAGTGAAATACTTAGAGTTGAGCTTTTGGAAAATTAATTTGACAATTGAGTAGAGGGTGGAAGGCAGTGAGGAAAGACTTGAGGTAAGCAGGTCCACCAGCAGGCTATTGTGATAGGCAATATAAAGGTAATGGGGGCTTAGGCAACAGGGAAGTCAGGAAAAAGAAGGGAGCTTGAGGGAAGTGAAGATTAGCTTGGCCTTAGACAAAGATTACTCAATACGCCTTCCCCTACTGCAATTTGTTTACTGGTTGGTTATTCTCTGTAGGAATCATCCAAGTTGGTTGGATTACTATATACTGATATGGTTTGCTTGTTGCTCTTCTCCTCTACCTCTGTCTCCTTCTTCTACCCTCTCCAAGTTATCAATAGTAGACAATTTTGAATTCTTTTACATTTTTATATTATTTTTTTGTCCATCCTAACAAATCTATCACCATTATGAAAGCTTTTCTAGCTATTCCAGACATAGCGATCTTGCCCTGATCTGCTTTCCTTAAACCCATAGCCAAGAGTTTACAGTTTAATGCTTTCTTGTTTTTTTTTTCACATGTTAGTTTTGCATCTCCTATTAGATTGTAATTTTCTTAAGGGACCACACTTTGCACTAGTTATCTCTCTCATAGTACCTACAGCCATTCAGGGCACACAAAAAGTACTCCTACTATGCATGATGATATTTTGAGTATATTTTAAACATTGCCCGACTTTAGGTTCATGTTTATAGACTTTGTACGTTAACAAATAGAGATTTATAGATGTTTCCTTGATTTAAAAATGAATTATTAAAAACTTAATATTAAACATTAATGCCACCAATTAAACTCATTCTGCAACTAGTTACATTTAAATAACTGGGCCATCTCTAGTTGTCTTGATCTACATCTGGCCACTGGACCCAGATGGCTCTGGAGGAGAAAGTGAGGCTGGTGACCTTGCACAGGTCTCCCTCACTCAAATCTAATTCACTTGCAAGTCATGGCATCATCTACCTGATATTATGGTCCTCTCTGAAATTGAAGGACAAATGCCAACCACAACATTTAAATAAATTACTCAATTCATGAAATGTTATAGCTTTTCACTCACACCCTTTGTCCTCATCAATACACTTTGCTTATTCATTAATTCCTATTCATAGTTCTTCTTACGTAATTGTAGTTAGTTTTTACTCTGGTCTGTTCTGACTTTTTCACGTTACATTTTTTTGCAAGTCTTTCCATGTTTCCTTATTTTCCTCATTCTTGTCAATCTTAGTTTTATAGTAGTATTCCACTATATTCATGGACCACAATTTGTGTAATTATTCCCCATTTGTTGGATATTTAGGTCACTGATAAGTTTTTGTGATTAAAAATGATGCTGCTATAAAAAGAAAACTTTCCCCTTGCTTTTTAAATATTACTTTCAGAGTACATTCCAAAGAATGAAATTGTTGGGTCAAAGCACATCATTATTTTTTTCTATTTTCTGCCAGATTGGTTTCCAAGTAGATACCACTGGTTTGCAATTCCACCAGAAATGAATGAGTATGTCTCTTTCTACTCGATCCTGCCACCAGGTGATGTTAGAAACTTCTGGAGCATATTACAACATCAGATACCAGTTTCCTGATATTCTCAAACATGGCTGTATAAAACATATTGGATAAATCTAACCCTGCTTCATTCTACTGATAATGAAGACTACCTTGAATATAGTATCATCAACTCTACTCTGTTTATATCATGACTGGTATATTAATTCTCAAATTAGCTTGTCTAGATATCCAGCCTTTCTTATTCTAATAATTGCCAGAGCATAGATCAACTGACGAAAAGGTTAAAGAAAGAAATGTATAAAAAGTTGTCCCTCAAGAATTGATTTAATTACATGGTTAAAGCTTTAGTCAAATGCAGATGGGGAATGAGCATGAACACTTTCTCCTGGCAGTCTGCAATTTGATATCACCCCAGAAAACCTATCATCCTATTTTTTGAAAACTTCCAGAACTGCTCAATAGGCTTGGGCTGTGGTGGAGGTAGCCCAATGTAACTGAAAGACACCTAAAGGAGTATTGGGTTCTCTAAGACCCTCTAAGGGTTCCTAGGGAACAGGTTCAACTCAAAACTCTTGTAATCCTTCTACAATCCAATGAACACCTAAAGGGGGTAGAAGGTGTCATGGAGGGAAGGATGGGTCTTGGGGCAAGAAAGGAGTAAGAATTGTTCTACTCACAAGGATTTTCCAGCGATTCCCACTGGTAGTATCAGGTTTTTTAAAAAAATGGGCTAGAAGTATGTTCTAGCTTATATTCCGTTTTACACTACCCCAAATATCATGCCTATAGTTTTAAAGTGATTGTTGCTACCTTTCTCCTTAGAAATTTTTAAAAAAAGCTTAGGTCATCCTCTAAACAAAAGCCTAATTGACTTCTGTGGTATTTCAAGCTTGTTTATATCCTGAGGTAAATAGTTTTATAAATCTCTAAAACTATATCTCTTCCATGTGGGAAATGCCCAAGACTGAGGTATGTACAATAGCACATGGTTAAACAGACATTCATTTATAGGATATTCACAGTATTTAGAGCTAATAGAAGAGAAACAACCATTAAGCAAAAATGGAAAATTCAAACTACCAATATCTAATCTTAATTTTATTTTTTAAAGAAGTATGCATCAATTTGTAGGTAGTAGTTACTGTGTCTATTGAAAAAAAATACCTTCATTTCTAGCTCTTGGTTTGCTGCAGGTGGCACCAGGAGTTTTGCTTCCAATCTGTATATAAAACTGAACAAGTCTGGGAAAACAAACAAAGTTTATTTAAGACCAGGTAGAACTAGAATTGACTGTCTTCTATATTTCTATCTTTAAAGAATTTCTCTAAAACCCAAGTGCTCATGGACACTAGAAAATGCCTAGTTTGTAACAAGTTCAATTCCGTAGTCTTTTAGAATGCTTCAAACTGCTGTTATAATGTTATTTCTTTAAGTAAAATGAACCTAAATAAAAAAAAAATGTAAAGACAGTTCTGAGTTTGTCAATTGTAGTTCTTCAAATAGACTATCACCTTGGCTTACTTAACTTTGTAAACTCAAATGAAAATTTCTGAAATCCACAGCTAATGAGGTCCCAGGAAATATGATGTTATTTTTTCTAGTTCTGATACTGGAAAGTTATAGCTGCTTCAGGCCAGATTACTTTCTATATGATTTGATGTGAGTTTTAGTGTCTCAGAGAAACAACAAAGGTTGTAAACTCTATACCCTTGTAATACCTCTGTAAACAAAAAGCATACAGATTTGCCTTTCATCCTCAGTGATTTTGTGCACCAATGCTCTACTCTTCCCCCTCCTTGAACCTCATTTAGGAAGGCGAGTGATCTTTGAATTGAATAATATATCATCTAGATCTCTGGTTGGGTGGAAAACTTGGATTGTAAACAACACATATGTTGCATTGTTTTCTTTTTACAATACATATTGTAAGCAACATATATGTATGTATTGTAAACATAGATAAAGACGTCTTTGATTTTTTTTCTGCATTCTGTTCCTTAATAGAAAACTATTTAGCTTTTAATTAAATTAACTGTTTTACCAGTAGGTGTCACCATAAGCATTTTTCCAAGACATCAGAATTAATGGTGTCCGATTTAGAGTTCAAAGTTGCCAAGCCCTGTGGCTATTTCACTAAAGAATCATTCATACCACAACCTTCAGTTTATTACAAAAGACAAGTTGTGTTTCTCCCTCCCCCTTTCTTACAAAGTTTGTTAATGGGCAACTGGAGAAATGGCTGTTAGTGCTTACTGGGATTTTTTTTTTTTGTGGAATCTTGATGGAACTCTTCCATTCATAAGGTTTTGTTACCACAATGAGGGAGTCAGAGGAGATGAGCAGTAATGGCAGGAAAGCAGCAGTTGGTGCCAATAATGCTAATGAAGGCACCAGCCTCCCTATGTGACTTAAGCTACCTAAAGGCAGATTGTAAAAATAGAGATGGTCCAATCCACTGGGCTGGTATTCTCTACACTGGCCTTTGCACTGTGACTACAAAGTTAAGTATGTTGGCAAGAGCAATGCAAGGGAGCCAGGTGAAACCTCACTGTAAGAAAGCAAGTTTGTCAGGTTGTTTGGGTTGCTTTCTGCTTCTGCCTGTCCTATTCCCCTAAGGCATGGACCTCTGTGGGAGTCTGATGAAGTCCATGGACCCTTTTTCAGAAAACTGTTTTTAAATGCATCAAATAAAATAAATAGGATTAAAAAGCAAACTAATATAGTGAAATGTAGTTATCAAATAGTTAAAAAAAACAGTCTCTACGTCCAAAACAAGTTCATGGACTTCAGGTTAAGAGCCCATGTTCTAAGTCATACAGATCTCTGGGAGGAGATATTATCACGTATTGAACCAAACAGTCAGTTGCATAGGATCTTAAGCAAAGAGGGTAGCACGGAATTGGGCAATGAACTCTATGTGCATTGAGGGGTGGTATGAATTTTCTATTAACCTGATATTTGTCGTATCCAGAGGAACAGTTCTTGCTTCCCTCTTGCCAGGCCCATTGAAGTAAAGAGATTTCCCATCACTGAGTGTTCCACAGCCTGTTCCCACCTGACCTCCAGTTATCTTGTACCAGAGAGGGCTGAGTTTCCCCTCAAACCTGTCGAACATCTCATTGTGATTAGGCACATTAGACACACAGGTTCCATGTGAGGCTTCAAAAAGAAAGAAAGAGAGAAAGACATAGGAAATGCTTTGTTGAAGCTGTGAAATGTTAGAGGCAGATTCAGAATATGGCAAAAAAGGTGTAAAAATAAAAATGTATACTTCTTAATTGCCAGAAGTAATCATTATCCTTGCTACCATAATCAACGAGATTATTTCTACCTTCAGATAACGTTTTATTGTGAGCAGAGACATATGGAACTTCGCTTTCTTGGTTCATGTTGCTGTGACACAATTTTTGTAAACTGAAGAGAAATAGGTTAAACTTGGTGCGTGCATAACAATTAAACATGCTGAGCTGCTGCTCTCCTTAAATAGAAGATTCATCAGGGTGGCAAATGTAATTGTGTCAATTCCAGCTTTTAAGGAAAAAAAACCCGCGAAAACCCCCTACCACCTCTGAAACCACAAGCAAACAGCATTCCCTGTAGAAGGCCTGTCACAACATATGTTTGGTTTTGGTCATATGCCATCTGCAGGCCAGGGGATTAAGAACCAGAGAAATCCTTTTGAAGCCCCTTCAGATATTTTCTTCAGCAACTTTTTAAAGTTTAGTCTTTTTTCCCTAACCTCCTGTTTAATCTCAGCTGCTTTTCCAGAATCAATATCCAAAGTTATAGTCCGAACACACTGTTCTTGTATGTTCTCGTGTAATGTTCCCTTTCAGCAGTACTAGAAATATTGACCCATCAATTGCAGTTGTCTTAAAAAAATCTTTTTTTTTTTCCAATGAAATTTGTGTCACCAGAGTTCTCTTCTCTCTGCCCAGGACAACAATATTTATCAGATTTAAAGGATCTCCTTGTTCTCCTTGCCCTGATTTCCAGGATTCTTAGTTTTAGAGGACAATAGTATAGTCTGAACTTGACTTAATCAGGGTTGGATTATTATCAAAACGCATATCTGTCCTCTCCTGCCCTCCCAAAAGGGACAAGAGCAACAACAAAACTATTCTTACCTGTATAACCCAAATCACAAAAACAAACCCCTGAAACACAGTCCCCGTGGCCACTGCAGTAGTTGGGACAAGGCTCAGAGATATAAACTCCATCTAGCCCAAATGGGGGAGCAGTTTTCTGGGTCCTACTCTCCTGGATCCAGCGGAATCTGGTTTTGCTGTTGGGAAAAACAAGAGACTTGTTGGTACTGCTATTATTCATTCCATTTGTGAAGTGGCTAATTGTTATGCACACCAACAATTAATTCTTAGACAGGTCTGGCAAATTCAAGAGAAACTGATATCCTCCAACTATCCTGCAATACCACGCTGTATACCTCTCAACTCAGTGCAGCCCAGTGCATGAAGAAAGATGGTGGTGGCAGTAAGGGGAGGGGATGGAAGCTGAGAGACAAATACTCTGTCCCTCAAATATGGACTGATGGACATTCAGTTGAGTAATTGAGAGTGGAAAGAGGAAAAGTGAATAGCAATTGGATGGGATATTAGATCATCTGGTCATATGAGTGTGTTCATGATCACATCATATTTTATATGATATAATTGTATGTCAACACTCCTCTTTCCCTTTCCACCTACCTCATTTCCTGCATTTTTCTCATTCATTCATTCATTGAACAAATGTTTATTAAGGCCCTACTGAGATAGTGTAATAGGCACTTAGGGTACAAAATATATATGAAATTAACTCTACTCAAGGACTTTACAACAAAATTTGGGAGAGGGATTGTAGACAGATCACTATGGCATGAGAAAGAGTAAGGCAAAGGACAAATTCAGGTAAGGTACTGTGAGAAACTTGCAGAGGCAAAGTTAGTTTTCACTTGGGGGAATAGAATGCTGGGAAGGCTTCAGGGAAGAATGAGCATCTGGACAGAAGAGAAGGACTTAAGATGGAAATGGGAAGAAGCTATTCTAGATACAAGACATGGTATAAGCAAAGGCACTGAAAAACAAGAATGAGAGATGGAAGGAAATTCCTCTTAGCTAGAATGTGGAGTAGGTAAATGAGAGTAGTATGAATTAAACCTGGAATTAAAACCTGAATTAAAACCTAGAAAGGTGTAATGGAAGGAAAATTGTAAAGGCAAATGAGTTCCATTAGCAGTTTATGCTTTTATTTTATAGACAATAGTATGTCACTGAAGGGGTGTGTGTGTGTGTGTGTGTGTGTGTGTGTGTGTGTGTGTGTGTGTGTAAGTGCAGAAGTGACCTGAACAAAAAAGCATATCAGGAAGGTTATTTGGGCAATAGAATGAAAAATAATTTGGAGAAGAGATAGGCTGTAGGAAGGAGAATAGTAAGGAATCTTTTATGATAAACCAGGCAAGAAGAGATTAAAAAGACTAATTGCAGTAAGAATGTCAAACAGATAATGGATATGAGGAAGATTGTGGAGGTGGAATCGTTGGTTCTTGTCATTCTTTACAAATGAAAGAGGAGATAAGAGGGACAGGGTAAGTGAAAAAAGGAGGGAGGAAAGGAAAGAGGGGGAGAGAGGAGAGATAGAAAAGAAAGGAAGAAAGAAAGAAAAAGTATTATTTTGAGGTTATGAATGAATGCTTGGAAGGATAGTAGTTCTATTTACAGAAATTTGGAATGCAGGGAGAGAGAGGATACTGGAATGAACAAGAAGAATTCACCAAGGACGTGCTGAGTTTGAGGTGTCATTCAGATATCTAGTAATCATTCAGAAATAATAAAATACAAACCTCAGCTTTGTGGAGAGGGTGAAGGTGGTGACATAGATTTGGGAGGTGTGTTCTTAGAGGTGATAATTGAAGCTTGTAAATTCACTGGGAGAGAGATCATGGGAGAAGGTTTCAGGGATAAGGTTGAGGGGAAAAACTCTGAGGTGAAAAAGGAGGAGGACAAGAAGCACTGACGGAAATCCTATTTGGATGGTTTTGCAGTGGTGAAGAAGGTCAGAGATTGAATCTGGGGAGGAAGATTTGGGAAGATTCAAGAGACAGAAGAAGAATGAACTGAGTTTAAGGAAGAGAAGCAGAAGAATTCAGGGAGAAGAACATGAACAGAAGGAATGAAAGAAGAGCAGAAGGGCCAGAGAAGGAGAAAGTAAGAACAGAGTAAAGAGAAGGAAGTTGGTGAACAAGGAAAAGAAGCTGGGTGTGGTTGTCAAGGTACTAACAGGAGCTAATAAAACGAGAATAATTTACCAGAGAACTTGGCTACAAGAGATACTGGCAAGAATGACAAAAGATTGAAGAGATTGTATCATGTCCTTCAAGAAACCTTTCCTATATCCTCAAGCTGCTGGTTCCCAAACATCCCCCACCTGAAATTACTTTATATGTATAGCACAGTGCCTGGCACATAGTGCTTAATACATTTTCTCTCTCTTCTCCCTTCCTCTCTCCTCCCCTCCCTCTCTCTCTTTCTCCATCCCTCTCTCCTACACTCCCATCTCTTCCTCCCCTCTCTCTTCCCCTTTCCCCTACCCCCTTCACATCTCCTTATTTTATATACATGTTGTCCTTTGAAGACAGGCACTGTTTTATTTTTATCTTTGCATCCCCACTGCCCAAAACACTGCTACACATAGAAGATGCTTAATACTTGTTCAATTTAATAGAATCTTTACTCTAAGTGCAGGCTAGTCTTTGTCTTGAAAGAGAAAGTAAAGGGGATTGAGAAGCTCACCTCTACTCTCTAGGTTATTTGGGAGAATGAATTTTTAAAAATGAAAACAGAGAAAGAAATAGAATTGACAAAGTACAGGGTCATCTTGACCTCGTTAGGTTTGAGGGTGCTATAATGACACAAAGAGGAGAAGGGGAATAAGGATCACTAAACAGCTTGGTAACAGATGTGGGACACTTCTTGAAGTGGAGGAAGAGGGAGCCTTAAGAAGAAGCAGCTGCTTGTTTTCCAAGGAATGATGATGCTGACACAAGGGAGACATCATTCAGGACAGACTAGAGGAAGCAGATATGAGTATTGGTGGTATTTTGTGATTTCCTTAGGAAAAGAACTGGAGCAGTTAGTTGTCAACTTAATAATAAAAGTAGGAAAGACCATACAGTCTTCCCTGGGCATAGAAGTAGCATGCGGTGCAGAACCTTCCAATACTTGTCAAATATGATGACTACTACCCACTTCTAGTGATCTGCCTAATCACCCATAATCATAATTGATACTACCTTAGTTTGCTTGAAAGCAATTCGGAAAGCTCTGCTAAGGAAATGATGTCTTGGGTAATAAACTTAAAGCATTGAAGTCACTTGCATTTTCATCATAATTAGGGCTTCAAAAGTGAAAGGAAGATTTGGGAAATGGTGAAAAAGATGGTGTCTAAGAAGAGGATTCTGGGCCATAGCTGGAGGAATAAGAAGCTCCTGGACAGAGTGCATTAAATTTGGAATAGTGAGAATGTGTTTTCCTAGGGCCTTGCAAATCTTGTCAAAATGTTTTAAGCTGAAAAAGAGAGGAAAAAATTTTTACATATATCCATCCATCCATTTATCCATCTATCTATCCATCCATCCATCCATCCATCCATCCATCCATCCATCCATCCATCTATCTATCTATCTATCTATCTATCTATCTATCTATCTATCTATCTATCTATCTATCTATCTATCCATCTATCTATCTATGTATCTATCTATCTATCTCTATCTATCTTAGAGAGAAGCTGAAACAGGAAGACAAAATCCAAGAAAGAGGTTGCCACAAAACTCATAGCTTCAAGTGTCAAAAGGATCGCTAATCAACAGAGCAAACTAGAAATCCCAACATGAAGAGGCAAATTTGACATCAAAGGTATCCGTGAAGCTTGAGATAATAGGATCATAGGTACAGACTAGATGTAACCCAAGAGGTCATCTAGTCTAACTCCCTCAATTTACAAATAAGGAAACAGATACAAAGGTGGAGGAACTTATACAAGTTCAAATAGATAGGAAGTAGAAGAGCTGGGGGCTTCCACAGTGGGAATGTGGCTCAGGAAGGGTATGTTTTATTCAAAAGAAACAGTACAGTTAAAGGGGTTATGGGGGGGTGCAGAATAACATTGTATATTATGGAGATTTAATTAGATGAGGAAATCCAGGAAACATAATATGGGTTAGGGGAAGAACACGGGATAAAATATTTGGGTGCAGATAACAAGAAAGCCATTTTCATCAATGAATACAACAGATCACTTGGACAGAAAGAAGAAATAGATCATGATTCTGGCATGGTATCATTACTTAGTATTGATGGGGGATTTTAATTCTCTAAAACACTTATTGTATTTCTCTCCCTCTGCCAAAAATAAATAAATGAATAAAAAAGGAATTTGTTAAATTCTTAACTATTTTCCAGGAGAATAATTTCTCAACTTGTTCTAATGATTATTCCATACCAATGGAATGAGGGTAACCAGTGAGGGGAAGCTTTAGGTCAATGAATTTGATTTTGATTTCTAGAAAAATTAAGTAACTTATTCATTATTATAAAGTTATATCTGTATAATCTGTGCTTAGAAGTAGTCTGTGTCTAGAGAAGTAAATAGTCATCACAAAGAATCAGGGCAGCTTCAGTAAGAATAGGTCATGCCAGAATAAACTAATTTTATTTTTTGATAGGATTCCCAAATCAGGGAAATGTTCTAGAAAAGCATTTCCTAAATTTTAACAAAGCATTTGACAAAGTCTCTTATCCTCTGAGTATTGTTCTTTAGTAAATAGTTGTAGAAAATATGACGGATTAATGAAGGCTGCCACTTATGGCAGGAGATGAAGACTTAGATGTTCAAATAATTTCTATCCTTCCCTATCACTGGAGTGAAAATAGCAGGAAAAATGGAGAAATTATATATGTAAATATAGCCACACAATTATGTTTCCGATTCTTAAAGAGTTTTATCCACTTAACAATCAGTGAACTGAAAATCTTTTTTTAAAATTGTTATTCTAAATCATCTAGTCTTGGCAAACATGCTGAATTTAACAGACACCTGTTGTTTACTAGCCTCAAAAAATTTAAGGGATTCAGATTGACTTTTGAGAAGTCTGTCCTACTGTCTGTAAATGCTTCAAACAGATACTTTGTAAATTCCTGCTTAGGCACCTAAATGGGAAAAGGTATACCCATTTTCTCTCCAGCGGAGAATATTTTAAAAAGTGAACAGGTATCTCCTTAGAACATT